TGTACAGCTATTTACTCATGTATTTGTGCTTCGATGACCGTCATTCATTTGTTTTTTTCTGTTTGCGTCACTCATTTTACAAAATGGAAAACTTAAAGAATCGCATTATTTACGAGTACGAGTTCCGCCGTGGCACTAGTGCTGCGGAAACGACTCGAAGGGTGAATGAAATGAAATTTAACTCTGATGGGGCAGTCCAAATCGCCTTCACAGATTTTATTGTTTCCCGTCCGACTGGATTTTTTAGTAAAGGGATCAATGAACTACCTATGAGATGGCAAAAGTGCATAGAAAACAATGGTTCATACTTTGATTAATTAAATATACCTATTATATTTAAAAATATTCGACTTTTTGTTCCTCCCATACAAAACGCCAATTTCATATGTAAGGACCTAATATTTAACAGGCGCCAGTTATGATTAAGCTATGTACCTATCAAGCCGAATCTCGAGGCATTTTAAACTGTAGTAAATGTTTATGAAAAAATACAAATTTATCATTATTAAATTATCAACATTGGATTCTGTTTTTATACAATCGCCGTGGCGTAGATGTTAGCGCATATAGAGATTCTATAATACCCGCGGAAACAATAACTACTTTTACAATTACGGCCGAAATCTTACCTAACAAAATTATCAATAATATCTTAGAAGTCAGTCCCAGACCCAGTGACGCGGCGACCTTGTACTAAGAGGTACCTATAGGCTTAGACTCTGATTTCTGCATCTATTTGGTGATCATATTTTTGATCTATCTATTTGATGCACAAAGATAGTAAAGTCCGGTGATGATGATTGGTTGGAAATCACTCTTTCTTTGTATTTAGATTCTGGTCAGTAGAGGACAAGAAAATATGTACAGAATACTCAGCTCTCCGATCTATTGCTATGGCCAACTGGGAGGAGACAGTGAAGATGCCAATCAACGAACCAGCTGTTGGGAAGAAGAAGAGTCAGATCCAGGAGTATGTCGAGTACCACGGAGGCGCTGGTGTTCAACATATTGCCTTAGGCACCGAGGACATTATTACTGCAGTAGGGATAAGAATTACATCTTTTTCAGATGGTGTTTTTTGAAAAAAGGTGATCAGCCTTCCAATTCGAAACTATATATAAAAGTTTAAAACTCTGTTTTGTTATCTTAATAGCATTTTTATAATTAGTCCATTGAAATGTTACAATCTGAGGGCCAAACAGAACATTTGTTAGAGGACGCAATTTTATTTATGGGACATGTAGGGGGGGTCAATACAAGTTCAAGTTTGTGGGGCGGCGTGCTTGTCCCCCGGCCGCCATCTTGGAAAAAGCGATGCAAAAAACACGTTTTTGGCTATATCTCCTAAACTAACCATCGTACATAAAATTTGTGAAGACACATTTTGTAGCAAATCGCTGTGCCTACAATTATGTCTATGTAACTTTGTATCATAAATCCAAAATTTATGATAAAAAGAGAAAAAGTTCCATAAATAAAATTGCGTCCTCTAACAAATGTTCAGCAAATGTAACATTTCAATGGACTAAATAGGATTTGGGTGGTTTTAGAAAACTGAATATGTATTTAATATGTATGTTTAAGATGTCTATTTGGGAAGTTGGTTTTTACACTAATCTGTCTATATCTCAGAGGTTATCAGGTATCTCAGGTTAGATTAAGTTGTCCGTTTTCTAAAACAGTTGCCTATATTATCCAGTAATCAATTATTTTCGCGCGTGAGTCTAAAAACAACTTTGGACTCACCGGAAACTATTAAACAATAATATTTTACAGATAGAAAATCTCCGTGCACGCGGCGTAGAGTTCTTGTCCATTCCTTCAGTGTACTACAAAATTATCAGAGAAAGCTTGCAGAGCAGTAAAGTGAAGGTGGCGGAAAGTATCGACGCACTAGAACGTCTAAACATTCTCATAGACTACGACGATGATGGCTATCTGCTTCAAATCTTCACTAAAAATACCCAAGATAGACCCACATTGTTCTTAGAAGTTATACAGAGAAGAAACCATAATGTAAGTATATGGACGTAAATGTGACAAACATATATTCATACACAAATAGATAATATATGGGTTTTAAAAGGAATAAATTCACGGAGTTGAAAAGAAGGATGGAACTTTGTAACGAAAGGATGGCAAGTTATACAATAGTTCATTAATGACGGGCGTCATATCGCTTTATATTAAAAACTTCAATCAAAATCCCATTCAATTCAATTTTTCCCTAAGAAAATTAGGCCGATAGTTATTTACTCAAGAAACGGTATATTTTAAGGTTTGAAGACTAACGTTCATTTTCTTTCAGGGATTCGGCGCCGGCAACTTCAAAACACTATTCGAATCTATTGAGTTAGCACAAGAAAAACGTGGGAATCTTTAATACCAATGCAATGTCCTCGTTTGAATTTGTTTAATATTAAATAGATACGAAAAATGTGATACGTTTCATAAAATAATAGCAATGCACTGCGAAATTAGAGAGGTTACCACATCCGGGCCACAGATAAGGATGCTATATGAATTCTTTTGGTCGCTTAGAATCTAGATTATTGACAAAATAGCACTAATAACTCTCTGTACTAAACTTTGTGCGCTGTACTGCGCAAATTGTCTTGTCAAATGTTAAAGTGAAACAGTATACCTTGATCTTACCTCTACTAGATTTACATAGTTAAGTAAGTTATATAGGAATTCCTAGGGATACTGCTCATTGAAATGACGGAGGACCACCGACGATAGACGTCTTAAAAATTATCAACGCTGGGGATGGCACGGATATTTATGCCATCAAAAACATAACTTCAAAAAAAACCTCGTAACGCAAATTGCTCCGTAAAAAGTTGTGAAATCCATGTCGACTTATTAAGGGACTTTCGGTCTTAAGTTATTACGTGATTATTATAGTGACCATATCAATATTACAAATCTTTCACGGTCGAAAATGGCCTGAACTGCTTCGAGAAAAGAATGGTACGACTTGGCGGGCGCACTTCCCTTTTAGATGTACAAAATACTCCTCCCTCAGATGTATAACTGCGAGGAACTGAAACTAGTGTCGACTACAATACCAAGATACCAATAACGGGTCAAAGGCATTGACGCAATAGCGATACAGACATCTGTACATTTTAGAATATTTGCCTTAAAGTGATAAATTATGTCTTCTACCAGTGCCAAGCGAGTTGGAGACCAGTGATCCTACAATCTCTAGGTTTTGGCCAGAGATTTCTGTATGTCTCTTGATCATTCTTTATTTCGGTAAAGGAAATATGACATAGACTAAAGATATTTTAAAGTTTAAGGCTTGGCGGTTTTCTCACGATGTTTTTCTTACAAATCTCAATACAGAAATAAAATTGCAAATACTATTAAATGTCATTTTATTGGATCAAACTTGCTGATACATTGTAACACCTAGAATTATTTACAAATAGATGTGCTGTGCAATTTCAAACTGAAATTTGAAAATGTGAAAAAAATTCAGACCATGATATAAAATATACATTGCATTTCATATTTTACGTAAATTTTCGAATTTTCTAGATATGTCTTCCATTTTGTGCAGTGAGTCCCAATGTAGGGTCCACAGGGCTTTTCTAAAATAAACTTACTGTGTTTCGTTAACAATTTCCTAGTAATTAATTCGTTCAAGTATTAGTAAGCACTGTTGTTGTTGTTGTTACTTTTCTTATTTGGTGATTACGTCATCAGTAATTATTTACCTTTTTACACATATTACCCACACATTGTCTATGCTTGAAAACGAAATGCATATTCGAGGATCGCCCAATGGCACAAATGGGAAACACTGATCTAGTGGAATTACCACGAGTTGGAAAAAGTATAATGTATTTATTACCTTACTCATAAAAACTAAATCAGCTCAATTGCACTCTTTCGTCTCTTTCTGTTACATTGTGTTTACGTTACGATAAAAAGAGATAAATGGATACTTAAGTTACAAACGATGCAAGTGACGGAGTTATATTTTTATGAAGCGGCAAATTCTTTAATAAGTTACTTAAACGAACGTAATCCGAAAGTTTAATAATCTCCCTCTAATAGATACTTGTGTCTAAGTTCTTTAACAAATCGAGAGAGCTAAAAGCGTATGAAACAAAGCTCGTTGCAAGAACAAGAGTTCTTATTAATAAATAAAAAAATAACTCAATGGGATTTTATTAATTTGGTTTTATTTTGATTTATACTTGTTGATTTATTTAAAGACAAACGTAAATATGTGTCAGATTCAGGTGAGGCTTCAGCCCATTTGCCAGCTGTTCTATAAAAAAAAACCCCAATTTGTCAAGCATTTGACAACACATTATATACTTTGTCAAACTCGTGGAATAGAATTCTTCTTTGTTAACAATTAAGAAAACACAAATTTTATTCAAAAGATAAAATGCTCGATCATAAATTATACAAAACCTGCATAAAACAGCACCAAAAATCACAAACAAAAATTTATTCCATGTCGATATTTTAATAAATTTAATTTTTAATGTGTCAACGAATGTTTCGTCGAGTTGCAAATGCATTTTAATATTACTATCGTAAAATCGGTCATAAGTCATAACCCGGTTTGTAAAACCGCTTAAGAACAGATATACAGACCGAAACGCCAAAATATAATTTTGTTGCAAAACTTTTAACATAATTTATTTAAGCAATAAATGTCGTTTGGGAGCATTCAAGTATTACGTCACGCAATTTTACATCTATATAAGTATACCTTATAAGTATGTACCTTTATGTGGTGTAAAGTACTGGAAAGTCGAAAATAATATTAACAATAACACGTAATTCAATCCCCGCATCGTAACGTTTCACAAAAGGACCCCCTCCCCCCAAAACTTGTAACGTAATACTTGAACGCTCCCTTTACACAGTATAAAAAAAAATCGAAATTGCCTCAAATATTTTACAATATTTTTAGAAATCAAGATGGCGATAAAATCCGACGAAAAACTATGCTATTTTTAATAGTATTTAATCTAAGTGCGTACTTCCGGTTCAAGGTCGTCCGAGTTGACGATCTCGAAGTCCCTATCTGTGGACGACCGTTGGCTATTATCCGTGTCCGATTCTGAATGTTTCTCCGCGTGTTCTGTGGCCGTGCTTTCCGGTGGTTCCTCTCTGTAAAGATTGGAAAAATATTTTAGAAATAAAATATATATAATAGAAATTGTATTGACCAAAACATCGATTTATTTGAAGATGATTTAAAGTTAAATAAATAAATGCTAATTTAAAAGTAATCTATGCTCTTATTTTTAATTCCATAGAATTATGACATTTCATAAATGTTGCTACTAAAAAAGTTCTCCACCGAAAAATGGACAAATTTAACCCATTGGAGGGCAATAATTTTTTTTTTAATTTTGTTAAAATTTACTTTCAAGTGACCTAATACAAAAATAACAAATATTTCAATATCACGAACAATATATCGAATTAATTTATTTTATTCTTTAGCTGGCATCATTGCCTACTTATTCCAGGTTTCCACTATTTTAACAGATTTAATTTTGATTTACGAAAAAATCTTTAGTTTTGGCTATTACAAATGGCGATTTATTTTTTAAATGTCCTGTAAATTAGACATAAATTTAGTAAAAAATGGAAAACCTCAATTTAAAGTCGGTTAAAATCTTACTTCAAATCCCCAGTATCCGTATTATCAGTGGCGGGTGCAACTTCTTGCTGCGTCTCTGCTTGCACCAATGGAGTCTTTTCTTCCTCGTCATCAGACTGCTTGTCTTTCTTTTTCTTCTTCTTACTCTTCTTGTCAGTCTCTGAACCGGGGCCGCGGTATTCGTACTGAAAATATCAGTTACATAATTACAATTATGATTGCAAGCACTTATTTTTAAGGGATGCCCCCAAGAACTACTGAACTAATTTTGATGAAAGTTAAACTGTTCGTTAGACTTTTATCGTTAAATTTGTGGACACGTTAACAATTTAACCGCTGTTTAGACAGATTATGAAAATGTAATATATTTTTACTTACTTGATTATTAAATAAATCAGTGGCGCCTTTTAAAAGGTCTAGGTATCGGTTTCATGATCATTTGTCAATCAAATAGGCAAATAGACTTGTTAGGTCTAAGGTAACCCGGTTTCCTCACGATGTTTTCCTTCACCGTTCGAGCAAATGTTAAATTCGCACATAGAAAGAACGTCCATTGGTGCACAGTCGGGGATCGAACCTAAGACCTCAGGGATGAGAATCGCCCGCTGAAGCTATTAGGCCACCACGGCTAATTACTTGCTTGACCTCTACTATATTGCTTATAAGTTTAGGTTTAAGAATAACTTTATTTCTCATAAGAATTGCATACATAATTCACTTAATTAGAGCGCAAAAAATGTACCAAGCAAAACAGATGTTCGAATTAGATTTTTTACTAGATTTGGCATTGATGGCATAGTCTGATATAGCAAGATTATATTTATTTTATTATTTTTATAAGACTATTTTATTTTTAGTTTATTGTTCTATTTATACATTTTGGGTATATACATGGTTTATAACACATTTTAAGTATTGGGTTTTATTGTTTTTTATTTGTTTTATTTGTTATTAGTCTTACGTTAGGCTAGATCGTAATTTTCTTTGACATCTCAGTGAAGAGACAATTTATAATAAAAAATACGTGTGGCACTCAGGGACTGCCGCGGTAAAGTCATTGCAAGGCATTGCATGTTTTATAAACTTATGCAATATAATTATTTATTTATTTTTTGCAGTATTTTCTCTTATATTATTTCAAACTACCACTCTACCAGACTCAGACTAACACGCCTATCCGATGACGCTAAACCGATGTGAGACGCAGTATGCGTTCTGTCCCGCTCTAACGGGTATTGCCCGCACCTATAATACGTCATCGTGTGTTAGGTTTTTATTTCTGTTACGGAATTTCTTGATTTGGTCGCCGCGGAAATTTCTTGCATAGATTTTCTAAAATCTTATTGATAAAATATTATCTATTCTTACTTAAAACTTACTTTATACAAAGGCCAGAAAGACGCTAAGAATCCCACATCCTCGGTCAGATTGGGAAGCAGCCAGAGATGGTGTCTTGTGAGGGTCAAAACCCAGACCAAACAGAATACGACCACTCTGAGCACCGCTAACACTATTATCAGGACGAGAAAAGCTGCTGCCGCGATACTTAAGTAGTACACGCCTTTTCTGAAAATTAAATTTAAGTATACAGTGGATTTCATTTATTACGATATTGGTGAATTCCAGGTTAAGTAAACCATTTAAAAAACTTTACAACGAGGAACGACGAAAAGGAACGTAATTACCACTCGCCGTTAAACTTTTAATGTGGAGTACCGCACTTAATAAAATATATACATTAACTACTAATAAAATGTATCTATAGACGCAGATGTTCAGACTCGTATTAAAATTGAAAAATGTGCCTGGCCAAAAAGGTTTGTAACCTCTGACATGTCAAAAAATGATAGCTGTCAGAATTCTACGGAATTTAATTTTAATTTTTTTCTCTTTGATTATTGTTATTTTGTGTGTTTATGTGTGTGTGTTTTTGTTTGTAATAAATGATATGTCTATGTATTAAAAATCAGAGTACAAATTCATATGGCTATTGCGACTTTGGATGTAACGCCGAGTTCAGGTGTAGCGGCTGTTTTTATTAAATCATTTGTAATATATTCCTAGAAATCCTATGCTATATTACGCCCGGAGTCAGCCAAACACACAAAGATTTCCCTTTTGTTCATAGATATCAGCTAAGAAGGTAGGTAAGCGTTAACGTTTCTGAGTTAAATTTATGGGTCAGTTTCAATGTGATATTCTGAGTTGTTTTGTAAATGTACCAGTGAATGTGTGAAAATGTTTTCAATTATAATAAATATTAACTATCGTCGTCTTACGCGAAATCCAAAATAAATAAGTCGAAAATTTGTATGTTATACTACTAATCGAAGTAGACACGCGGAGAAATTGGCTATGCCAAAAATTTATATAGAATACTATAGGAAAAACACTTTTTGTATGGCAATCAAGGTTTTAAATAATTTACCAAATCATTCAAATATCTTCCTACTATTAACTTCATACTTAGAGTTAAGAAATGTCACTTATAATAATAGTCATCTATTATATCTCACAATCTAATGTTTTTGACATATGAGAGACAAATCCTAAGAAGTCAAAACAAATACGTATAATATACATAATTTTAAAACGCAAATAAAAGTTTAAAAATATCAAACCTGACGGTAGCAGGCCACAGCGGGAACATGCATATTCCGATAGTTCCGAAGACAACGAGTGCCCCACACAGCCAGTAGTACCAGGGTATTGGGTCGTAGATCCAGACGTACGCGTCCAGACTGTCCAAAAACACTTGCTCCAAATGCATCTCGAGACGTATCTTGCGTTTCTTCTTCTCTTTCTCTTTGTCCTTGTCCTAAAATTACATGTATTATTTCTATTATCTATACAAAACAAATAGTTTCTAGGTTTCAAGTAAAATTTGGTGATACTCGCGACTCAAAAAGAGGCTTTGGTGGTTATAACAAAAAAGTATTATTATATGTATTTTTAATGCCAAATCATAAAAGAAATATAACAATTTTCTTGTATAATTACGACCTATTGTCAAACCTACTGAATATCGTTGGCTAAAACGGGCTAACAGAAAAAAATCCTTTTTTCCGATAGAATTTGATTTGTTATGATCTTTCAATATAAGCTTTCGAGAGCGATACAACGTAATCGTTCATACAGTTTTTCGATACAATTTTTATAGCAGTACTTACTCCTCTTATAAATTATTTATAAGTTGTATTAGCAATACTTTTTGACACTTTCCTTTTTCAAGCACCAGTCTCTCACAATAATAGATAGCATTAAGTTTATTATCAAAAAAGAAACAATGCAATATTAGATTAGATCAAAATAATTATAAATGTTTACTAACCGCACTTTGTACGTAACACTAAATTGTAGACCAATTCTATTTCTAAAATTAAAAATTTCAAATTTAAAAAAAATCTAAAAATAATGGTATACTTAATTAATAATTGTCTTCATTTGTTATTTAAATAATGATTTTTCACTTTCAGTTTTTGTAATGTGTATTAAAAATAAATTAATGAACGACTCACAGTAAGAGGATCACTTAATGATAACTTACTTTGCCTTCTGAAGCGCTTGCCTTATCTCCATCCTTTTCATCACCACTTTTGCTCGACTTCTCCACATCCTTCTTCTTGGATTTGCCTCTCAACTCTTGTTCACTCACTGGTACCTATAAAGTAACATTTTGACATTAAATGAAGATGGCATTTAATAATATATTATCATTTTTTTTTTCGTATTTATTAAGTTATAGACTGACTTTTATATTATTTATACACGATAATAATTTTGTAAAACGTTACGATGCGGGGCGGGGATTGAATTACGCGTTATTGTAATTTCCGACTTTCCAGTACTTTACAACACATAATGGTAACTTTTAGGTATAAAGAGTCACTTAGCTGGTCACGAAACGTTTTACTATTGGGTACAGATAAACGTTACGGCGCGTTACATGGGGGGTGGTAATAATCTCCAAAAATTGCGTGACGTAATACTTGAACGCTCCCTCCTTCAAGAAAAGAGCGTACTAATTCGCGAGACATTGAGTGTCCAGGGGCGGCGGGTATCACTAAAGATCATATGAAGGCTACCTGCCCGTTTGCCCCTTGTTCTATTAAAAAAAACCTACTCAACTTGCTTTAACGGAAAGTTAATGATGCCCAACAATGTTTATAGCAAAGAACCACTCAATTTATGTAAAGATACTCCTTCCATTATAAAAGCTATTTTTAAAATTAAAGAAACTTGTAAAGGTTCCATTTTAATTTAATTTACTATATCCACATACCTTTTTAGCCCTGTGGAATAACTTGTGTAGTAACATCTGGTGGAGGAAATCCGTAACATCGAGTCGAGTTGTGAACAGTGGGTTCTTGGCCGTCGCCCATTTCGATGTCAGGAGAGCGTCTACTGCCTTTGCACCTGAAATTTTGTAAATGTCTACCTATAAATAATTGTGTAAGAATGTCAAATCGATTTAATGAAACACAATGTGAAATCTCTAGAAGCCCTATTTGTTTGTACACTGGCTGAGTACTATATATATACAGTGTATACTCTATATATTATATATAACGAATCAAGGGAACGAGCATATTTTTCGTTATAGAGAGTTTTCGTTATAGGGACAGAAGTGAAAAAAAAAACAAATTTAACCAATTACAATAATTTCTAATGTTTTTACTATCAATAGATAAATTATTCTATAAACATATTAGGTCCTTACATATGAAATTGGCGTTTTACGTTTTGGCCACTTTGACCTCAAATATCTCCTCTTTGGTTAAGAATTCCAAATTAAAATTTGTACAGCTATTTACTCATGTATTTGTGCTTCGATGACCGTCATTCATTTGTTTTTTTCTTCTGTTTTTTTTTTGTTTGCGTCACTCATTTTACAAAATGGAAAACTTAAAGTATCGCATTATTTACGAGTACGAGTTCCGCCGTGGCACTAGTGCTGCGGAAACGACTCGAAGGGTGAATGATGTGTATGGCGGTCATGTTGCAAAAGAAAACACAGTTCGTTTTTGGTTCCAACGTTTTCGTTCTGGAAATTTCGACCTGCAGAACAAGCCCCGTGGACAGCCTGAGACCCAAGTTGATAATGAAGTATTGAAGGCTATTGTGGAAGCGGATCCACCGCAAACCACGTCCGTATTAGCTGCAGGCTGCGGTGTTAGTGATAAAACTGTTTTAATTCACTTGAAGCAAATTGGGAAGATTAAAAAGCTTGAAAGATAGGGTACCTCACGAATTGACTGAAGCAAACCGGCAAACGCGCGTCGACTGCTGCGTTACTGAACCGGCACAATAATGAAGGTATTTTAAACCGAATCATTACCTGTGATGAAAAATGGATTCTTTACGATAATCGGAAGCGCTCAGCGCAATGGTTGGATCCTGGCCAGCCAGCCAAATCCTGCCCCAAGCGAAAATTAACCCCAAAAAAGTTACTTGTAAGCGTTTGGTGGACTAGTGCCGGTATTGTTCATTGCAGTTTTCTCAAATCTGGCCAGACTATTACGGCTGATGTCTATTGTCAGCAATTGCAAATCATGATGGAAAAGCTAGCGGCTAAACAACCTAGGCTGGTCAATTGCTCCACGCCACTGCTACTTCACGACAACGCTAGACCACACACTACACAACAGCCGGCTACCAAATTAGAAGAGCTTCAATTGGAATGTCTAAGACATCCTCCGTACTCCCCGGACCTTGCTCCAACAGATTACCATTTTTTTCGAAATTTGGACAACTTCTTGCAAGGGAAAAAATTTAACTCTGATGGGGCAGTCCAAATCGCCTTCACAGATTTTATTGATTCCCGTCCGACTGGTTTTTTAGTAAAGGGATCAATGAACTACCTATGAGATGGCAAAAGTGCATAGAAAACAATGGTTCATACTTTGATTAATTAAATATATTATATTTAAAATTATTCGACTTTTTGTTCCTCCCATACAAAACGCCAATTTCATATGTAAGGACCTAATATAAAGCATAACGCTTTTCTTTTACTGGCCATCTTGACATTTTCAAAGTTTGTTTACGACTGATAATACACGATACGTGACGGTGGTGCGTTTAGTAACTGAGACCAAAATTTCCCAAAGGCAATGTTATCTAGGACTAATGTCACACGTGTTAATGCAATTAATAATAACAAAACATACACTTAAGTATGTTGTTGATGTCAATATATTAAAGTATTTCTTCGTTATATAGAATGGCTGTTGCGTTAAAAAGAGTCAATAAATGTATGGGTTTTCAGTTAGACCAAACAAATGTAACAAATGTGTACGTTTTAGACTGTTTATCGTTATAACGAATAACGTTATAAGGAGTTTAAACGGTATTTTTATTTGTAGAATTATCGTATACTACCGGTGCCCGCGACTTCGTCTGGGCGGGATTAAAACAATATAGCGTGAAAGACATATTTTATCTACTTTAAATACCAGAAGTGATAAAAGTATTTATTTTCATTTCAAACAATTTATTACTACCAAATGTGCTTTTGAAATAAATGATCAATTTTTAATGTTATGGGTGCGTTCACTATTTTGGCTATAATGGTTTACACATTAGATATAGATATATACTCTGGCGGGCTTTTTGTAAGACTATTTAAGATTTATATCATACATTAGATATGTGTAACTCTAGTGGTTTTGGCAGCGCACGCCAGAATAGCTTGCAGACGGTAGATTTTTTCCTATTTTGGGCAATACACCTGTAGTTGTAGCCTATGTGTTATTTTGATGTATAAGCTATATTATTGTAAAGTTTCATTAAAATCCATTCAGTAGTTTTTACGTGAGCGTAACAAAATCCATCCATACTCACGAACATTCGCGTTTATAATATTAGTAGTGAATGTTATGATTGAATAATTACGTGGGAAATAAATTAGTCGCGTACATATGCCGGTTAAAACTAAACGATGTATTTCTTAACCGACCTCTATGATTTTGGTTTCTTTTATTTGTTTATTATTGTTATATAATATGTCACCGGAAGATAACAAAATTCGCAAGTTTATACATTTCTCAGGAAATTTATAAACATCGATTCTAAACGAGATATAAATTGTATTAATTAACGCCCATATTTTCGCAAATTGATAAACTTACCGAACTCACGCGTAACATACTATGTATGCGATAGCGGCACGTGCGCTCTGATTGGTTGAATATGTCACTAACTTAACCTAACCGTTTAGAATCTTACGAATGGATATCCGTTAGTTTATATATTTAAAAAGAGACGTCGCAAATTTATCAATTTCAAGTCTCGTGTGTCAAAATGTGAGCGTAAAATAAGTAATACAATTTATCTCTCGTTTAGAATCTCGTTTAGTTTATAAATTTCCTAGGTAATTTATAAACTTGCGTATTCCATTATATTCCGTTGTCATAGACATATTTTACATTGTAATCCGTATTAGATATCAAAACTTTGCATCAATTTAATTATCGCACTAACCATACAAGTATTAGCTGAACGAAACCTCGCATAACATTGATAACCTACTAAAACATATAAACAATACAATAAAAATGTTGAACCCTATTCTAATATCGTAAGGGCTTATATTGAATACGTTTTCTGTATCGAATAGAATAATTCGGCGTGAACTTAGTGTTAATACAATTCTTTGTTAATATTATATGTAGTAGCTGATAACGCTTTGGTTGATTCGTTTAGCTTAGGTTCACGCGATTCCCGGCTTTTAATAGTCTAAACAAGATTCCTTATCACAATCCGGTCACTGCACAAGAAACTTGACAAAACATAAGCCCAAGAGCTTTTAAACTGCAAGATTAAAAACTCTGTTTTCGCTGTTAGCGAAGCGTTTTCTTGAATATAACATTATACCGGCCGGCAACGCACTCGCAAGCCCTCTTCCATTGAGAGTGTCCATGGGCGGCGTAAAAAGGTATCACTTAACATCAGATGAGCCTTCTGCCCGTTTGCCCCTGTTCTATATAAAAACAAACCACATGCGTTTGTTACGACTTTTCCATATTTTGTCAGCAACGCTGGGGGTAAGGTGCAGAGTCGAGTAGGTACAGTTATATATATGTATATACCTTCCTATACCACAGTAGATAGGTTCCGCGTTATAGGAAACGCGTTGTAGTTGTATTCTCGCATAACGCGTTATGTACAAATGATTCACGTTTAACTTTTCTCGTTAAAGGGGATTTAAATCGATATTAAGCAAAAACTATGTTATAAACGAAATAAAGTAGAAATAATTGTCACAGAACAGAAATATGGGGAAATACCTTATACGAGGGACTCAAATCGCGTAATATGACAATGCGTTATAAGAGTACCGTGTTATAAGGGGATATTTTGCATCAAATAATTTCGAAGAAATTCGAATACGAATGAATTATTTATGGAGATCTCTTACTTAACTTGCATTTATTTTTGGATGAGTCGACGACCCACAAATCGTTTTATTTTTATGTTCGCGCTGAATTCATCTTTACATATTTAAGGTAATATATTTGGAAATTCTAACGAAACGAGAGCATATATTAACTCATCATTATATGTTGTGGTAACAATATGTTACTATGTTCGCAAAGTGAGTTAACAGTAGCGATATTGTGTATATTATGTATTTAATATTACATTTTTCAACGTTATAAATAAATAAATTTATTAAAAAATCACAGTAACGAAACGATTCAACATTTAAGTTCCTTAATCCAAGGTGTGGAAAAGAGAAGAAGAACTAGCAATAAACGCTCTCTTTTTAATATAAAAATAATTACATATATTAAAAAATATTAAATTTCTTGTTGCATTCTTCAAAATTTGACTTATTTGAACAATATTTTCACCATTATAATCCTAAATTATCCCTTAACACTATAGAATATTTTCTTTAAATTTTAAACCATTTTAAAGCGTTTAAAAGTCTACTAGCAAATAAAAGTAAATTTTAAGTAATTAAATCAAAGCATTTAAAAAGTCTACCTGTAAAATACTCGACGTGGTGGTTTAAAAATTTCGTTTTCTTCGTCGGAACATTCGCTTTTAGCCACTTAGCGACCGCATACTCTTCACTAGTCGCCTTTTCAGATTCGGGGGGTTCACCGAACTCCTGTAATTATTACATTTAAATTTTTTATTATACATAGCTAACGTTTGAATTTGTCAATCTCAGTATTGGTCAGATAAAAAATCACTTTAAGGGTAAAAGGTGTAACACGCGTTAACAGAATTAACACTGGCGAAATGGACGGCGGGTGTAAAATATAGTACACCCGCCGTGCATTAGTCGTTACATAGTACTAGCTGACCCGGCAAACGTTGTATTGCCATGTAAGTATATTATTTCTTGGAAACACTTTTTTTAGTTCAAAAAAAAATAACTACCTATCTACTATAATAAAAAATTGGGGTTGATCGTAGAGGGGTGAAAATTAGGGGTTGTATGTATTTTTGTATAATAATAATTTATATGCAATGTATGTATAATGTATGTAATATTTTATACAATAAAATTTTGGGATGGACACCCCCTTATCACTTAGGGATTTGAAAGATAGATAGTAGCCGATTCTCAGACTTACTGAATATGCATAAAATATTCATAACAATCGGTCGAGCCGTTTTGGAGGAGTATCTTAACAAACATTGTGACACGAGAATTTTATATATATTAGATTATAATTTTAGCAAACTTATGTTTTATAAGTATTTCTCAAATATTATAAGTCACAAATTGATTAAAATTTGACACCAAATAAAAAATACATAATAACTGTTTCGTGAACATTTGTTTTCTCTAATATACCAAGTTGGTGATCAGCCTTTTGTGCCTGACACACCTGACAGTCGTATACTGAAACCATGAGGCTGACGAAAGTTCAAGTTCAAATGTACATGGTTTTTACTAGCCTGACGCACTTAAACCGGAGATTCTAGGTTTGACTGCACAAAATCACTTCAAGCGTCAGATCTATGTATATTTTTATTAGATAAAGCGAGAACTAAAACTCCATTGGTGCACGGACGAGGTTCGAACCTACGACCTCAGTGTACCTACTATTGATACTAGAGTAAAAGCAAAGTAAATTTTCCCCGGAGTTTTTACACAAACATTGACGCGGTAGCCTTGAACCTTTAGTTTCTTACATAAATCTACTGCATTTGTTTAGATATACGGTACTTTTAGTACTACTTAAATAAATCTACGCCAAATATTTTCTAAAATCCCTATAGCGTCTAACCTAATCTTTCAGTTGAAGTTTCACTAAATATTCAACTAAAAGACTATCACAATCTTCACTGTTTACATGTTTTAATTGCTTAATTTTTCCATTAGTTATCTAGTATGTCTCATGTATTTTTGCACTACTTGCTTATTTTTTTGGTGGCCTGGAAGAGATCACTACAAAGCGATAAGACCGCCAGTTCATTTAATGTCAGTTTTATTATATTTCTGCAACGAAGTGTTAATAAATAAATAAATCGTTCGTCATGAATCAATCCAAGTTGTCGACCTCAAAAGCCCGAATCTCCCGTTAGGAGCGATCACATAAAACCTTTCCGCTTTTATACCATTGGTTTTGGATCTTAAAATATTTGTATACTCCTATTTTTACACTAATATTAAACAATAAGGAATTTTAGAATAACAGACGTAGTATTTCAACTATTTACCGCGCTATTAAAATTATATTGAAACAAATGTCAAACACATTAATTCCGTATACCTAGCAAGATTTGAACAGCTGTAGTCACATTCTAAATTTAAAAATCACATATAAAACCTATTTACTAAGAACAAAAAAAAACACGTTTTAATTTAAAAATCGAACATTACTCACGAATTCTTCACCCATGATACACGTACTACTGTGCTCGGGTTCTAACAGTGACTACAGGCGGTGAAAGTATTAAGTAGGACATTTTCTACCTACAAGCAACACAAAACGGACCGATATTACGGTTTATTAAAAAGTAAGGCTTTATACCATTTCCTAACAAGTTAATCTGACCTCACAAATATTCAAATGCACAAGAAAATCTTACGTTACTCTATAATCTAACTTTTTAGTCATATTGCGTGCGTTACTTTCAAAATTTTAGCAATATTGAACTAAATTAGAACGCGGTAGACCCAGACCGCACTATAGAAAATCGCGTTGTAGTTCTCGTAAAATCATTTTTTTTAAGAATTCAAAAACTAGGACACGAATTTAATAAAGTTTTTTAGTTTAATTTTATAATACAATTAAAACAGGTTCAAAGTGACGCAAACCTAATTATGGACAAATCATTATAAATTTCACTCTAAAGAAATACAACTTGATAAATCTCCGCGTTATAGGGGATAAATACCGTGTTATATGAGGTGCGGTAATAGCGTTTATATACAAAAACGCATTTTAGGGGGTTTATTGTTACTTGCAACTATAGCGATTAGGCTTGCGAGGAAAAAGAACAAAGGTATTTTGTCTTAGAGTCCTGGAAAAAGATTTTACTATTTTGAAAATAGTAATATTTACCTGGAGCTGTTATTCTCCGTAGATTATAGTAAAAATATTGGATCAAGATCGGTAACAATAGCTCTTAAAATTTAGTTACAATATGATACATTTTTAAGTATGGAAGTTAGAAGCATTAGATATATTGATCTCCAAAAAATAATTAATTTTTAGGATTAGTGTGTCCACTGTCTTTGTTTAAAATGAAGATGTCACAAAATACTGTCATAGTTTAATGTTACTTGGTAGTAGGGATTGAGATGGACAACCAAGATTAATAGCTGGTTCAGACTAACCTAAAAGGGTATATTATAAGTTCACCCCTAATTATTGTACATGATTAAAACACCTTAAAATAAATATAGAATTCAACATATTTTCAAGAAATTGTCAATAAATAAATATTAATAGTGTAAGAAACCACTGTATTTATATGACAGATTATGATTAGAATTTAAGCTGTCCTTTGCTAAGCTTCTTATAGTTGCTAAGGATTAAAAAATATTTAAAACAAATTGATGTATGAACGAAATATCAACACACCAGGCTTTAAGAAGATTAAATTATTGATAAATGTCTTACAAAGATGCTCCTATTGTATTTACCCTAAGTATATATAGAAGGAAGCAAAGTAATATTCTGAAAGGATAATCAATAGAGAAAGCAAAAAAAATTTTTCAATTGTCAAATCCTCAAATCCTGCTTGAATATTTGAAAATAGAAACAATGCATAAATAATGGTTGATTATTTTCACTTAATTTATGTATAAACAGTATATGTATCTTTCATATTAACATTAATAAGCATTATTTAAATAATATATTATCTGTGATACAAGCAACATAACCCATCTACCTGTAACTACAAGTTAAAGTAGTATATATGTTAATATTATATAAACAATATAAAAAATGAGTCAACAAAGCAAGTGCACAACAATTTTTATTATATTAAAGTATTAAAATATATTGTCTTCATAGTATGATGTTGACTAAGAGAAACCCTTATTCTTTATAAATGCTTGTTATTCGAGATTAACCAAATAGTGTCACTAAATTTAGTAAGCTGAGAATTAAATTATAGATTTTTTTATAATAGGATATTAACAGTAACTAATTATTGGGTTATATTAGCTAGAGCTAAGCTACAAGTAATGGTAATGCTTAAAACTAAATTAATCTATATTCACAAACCTTTTTCCGCTGAAAACATACTTTAATAAATATTAGCTTGGCAGAGATCAAACAAAGAAGCAGCAGGAAGGATCGAAGTTATTTATAAAATTTGAAAGACCACGCCGCTTTTGTACAACTGCGCATTTTGTGGCTATAATGTTTTTACATTTTTAATCTCTTTGTCCTAATAGTTTAATAACTGAATCCTTATATTAAATTGTAAAGTGTAAACGCCACGCGTAAAATAGAAAAACTGCCGACGAAGTACCTTCTAAGTAGTCTCACAAATCACAATACAGAATACATAATAACGATATATTTAAAAAGATGTTGCGTTCTCTTTGAAAACAATTTATTACTGAAATACTGAACAGAAGCAAAGCGCAGAAAACATAGTATGTAATATAAAGTTGGTTTGCAGTGATATCTCAAATCTCGACCGATTAAACATATTATAAAACGATACGTAATTTTGTACAATAAAGCCATTATGGTTTTTTAAAACAAGTCTGTTTAGATACATACCTCTTTGCGTTTCTTAGTTTTTCTTTTTTCTGCCATCGCAATTTTGTATACGTAGCTATTCCTATTGGTTTTTCCTTACAAGTCACAACTTAATTCTCACAACGCTGAAATATTGACAACAAAACCAAGAGATGAACTGAAAATCATAATAAAATATGAATGTCAGAAGTCACCATCTTTTTTAGATGTCATGAGCTGACATGTATGACAATTACAGTTCATATATAATTAAGTCAGTATTTTCGAAAGACAATTTACAACCAAGAACACTTAAGTCAAGTCATCGGAGTGCTTGTCGCTTGAGGCAGTTGACAGCTCACAGCTGTGAGCTGTGCAGTTAACAGTGTACAGCGAGAAGACAGTCAGTGTGGCAGTGCCGTTATTCGGTAATAAGTTGATAATTTATGAATATTACTACTTTTTAGTTTTTATTTCATAATATTTGTCGTGTCAAGTGATATATGGATCTGCTTAAACGATTAAACACCAATTAATAAACGGTGTTTTGTTCCATATTCTCGACTTGGGAATTGTAGTGGTTGTGTAAAAGTCGGGCGATTAGTCTATCGCTCAACTCTGTTAATAATTGGAGTGCATAAAGCTTTATTAAGGGATAAAAATGAACGGACGTGAAACCAAAGAAGGTATATATATATATGTTTTTTGAAGCTTAATTATTTCATCTCACTTAATTGCCTGCATGTCCCTTTAGGTGGCTATTGGTGTATTAATCGCATGTATGTAACTTTTATATTGTAAGACATGTTAATACCTTTAAACAGTACTTTTTTTACATTATATTCTTAGTTTAAATTTCTATTCATTTTATTTATTCCATTTCAAATTACTAAACATTAAAGGTTTAAAAAATTGATAGATACAGCCTTATAACTCTAGCTTATTGAACTGTTGCATTTAGATTGATTATTTTTTTAGACTGGCTTGTGGTTATATAAGATAAATCAGTAGGTATAAAACATTATATTAACTTTGACCATGATAAATGTTATCTAATTTAAATGTTTTCTTTATAATATTCTTACCTTGATATATAATCAAGATTGGGGACGAAGGTTGGCTTTATTATATTGAAATCTAATTTTATAGCCTTTCTTAAAACAATAGAATAAAAAAACACATAATTTATTGATATGTTTAATTTAAAAATGAATTCATAATATGTACCATATTATTAAATATGAATTTATTGCAGAGTTACCAGCAGGAGTGTCTGTAGAAGAAATTGTAATTCCTGTACCATGGGGGCATGTGGCTGGCAGGTGGTGGGGCCCTCGGAACAAACAACCTTTAATTGCTATTCATGGATGGCAAGACAATGCTGGCACGTGGGATAATCTAATACCACAACTTCCAGGCAACACCTCTGTATTAGCAATTGATTTGCCTGGCCATGGATTATCTTCTCACTATCCTTCAGGAATGCTCTATTATGTTTTCTGGGATGGGATAGTTCTCCTACGAAGGATTGTTAGGCATTTCAGGTGGGAGAAAATAAGTCTTATTGGCCACTCTCTTGGAGGAGCATTAAGTTTCATGTATGCTGCATCTTATCCAGATGAAGTTGATAGAATCATATGCATTGACATAGCAAGCCCCGCAGTGCGACCTCCAGACAACATGGTTTTAGCTACAGGCTGGTCAATAAATAAATTATTAGACTATGAAAAATTGACCGAAGATAAGATTCCATGCTATGAATATGAAGAAATGATTGATATAGTTGTTGATGCTTACAAAGGATCAGTATCTAGGGAGAATTGTAAGGTGTTAATGAAACGTGGAATGTCTCCAGCACCATCAAATGCAAAGAAACAAGGCTTTTATTTTAAAAGGGACCCAAGACTCAAAGTGTCTGGCTTGGCCATGATGTCAATTGAAACAGCTCTAGAATATGCTAGTCAAATTCGGTGCAAGGTGTTAAATATTCGAGCCATTCCAGGACAAAACTGGGAAAGACTAGATTACTATACTAAGATAATAGACAAATTGAAAGAAACAACTGATGTTACATACATGGAAGTAGAAGGAACTCATCATGTCCAATTGAATGCTCCTGAAAATATATGTAACATAATTGAAGATTTCTTAGAAGAATATTAAGTTTAGCTCAATTTTTAGTGATAATTGTGATAAAAATCATTAAATGTACAAACATTAAGCCTAAAAGGCCTTTACGAAGTATTTAGTTCAATATTGGATAAAAACATGTTATTTATTACAACAATACACGCATTAAAGTTTATGTAACGGGTAAATTGCCTTAATTTACATTGTTAACCAGGTTTTGCATATGAATGTAGGTAATTTATTGTAAATATTTTATTATTTTGCTACAAATTGATTAGTATGAGGGGAGGTCCAAAAGTTCGTGGAATGAAAGGGTTTTAGTAAAAATGAAACAGTAAATTTATTTTTCCTTTTCAATATAATCACCCTTAAGCTGAATACATTTATTAGATCTATGAATTAATTTTTCTAAACCATCGTAAAAATATTTTTTATCTTTTCCCTCAAAATGAGCCAAAATTGCCTCCTTTACCTCATTGTCGTCGGAAAATTTTCTTCCCCTTAAGTCTTTTTTTAAATTGGGGAACAAATAAAAATCACTTGGGGCCAGATCTGGACTATAGGGTGGGTGGACTAGTGATTCGAAGCCATGCGTGTGTAGAGCAGCCATTGCAACTTTGCTCTTGTGAACCGGCGCGTTGTCTTGCAAGAGCAACACACCCTTGGTCAATTTTCCCCGACGTTTTTCTTTGATGGCATCCTTTAATTTTTCTAGTATTGTTGCGTAGTATTCTCCGGTTATGGTCCTGCCCTTTTCTTTATAATCAATCAGTATTATCCCCTCACAATCCCAAAAAACAGTAGCCATCAACTTTCCAGCCGACTCCGACACTTTGAATTTCTTTGGCGGTGGTGTCCCCTTTTTATGCCATTGCATGGACTCTTGTTTGGACTCAGGCTCGAAGTGATGAACCCATGTTTCATCGCCGGTTACAATTCGCTCCAAAATCGATCCAGGATCGTCGCTACACAACTCCAAAAAAAGGTTTTGACGCTTCGACGCGCTGCTGTTTTTGAAGCGGCGTGAGCATTCTCGGTACCCATCTTGCACTGACTTTTGTCATACCCAGGTGGTCATGTAGGATTCGCAAAATTGTGGTATCTGATACTCCAACTAATGCAGATAACTGTTTTTTTCTTCAAACGGGTGTCCTCCAGTACAATTTTTCAACTTTTTCGACGATGTCCGATGTGGTGGCCTCAACTGGCCTTCCTGAGCGGGGGTCGTCTTCAATCGACTCCCGACCATGTTTAAAAAGACCATGCCATTTGTAAATCATTGATTTACTAGGGCACTGTTCCCCGTAAACAGTTTCCATTTCATTCAAAATGGTCTGAGCGTTCTTTCCTTGCTTGGTAAGGAATTTAATGATAGCACGGTGTTCAATTTTCTCCATAGTTTCAGTTTTCTTCCGGATTGACGTGTTTAGCAGGCGAGTGTTCGTAAACGAATGACGCAATAGGGCTGAAACTCCATTTATATACTAATTATGAGTCCCCAATTAGTATGACACTAAGCGAGCGCCCCTATCCCCACTCCATCCCCTCCATTCCACGAACTTTTGGACCTCCCCTCGTATGTATTGCTTAACTTCAAAAAATTTAAATAAAATATTTAAAATAGCACTATCCAATCAACATAATGATTACCATACTACAATGATCTTTGTATATTTCAAATTAAATACAACCTTCATAGCTATTTTATATACTAAAAAAAAAGGGTGCGTGTGCTTATGTACGCGCGTAAGAAGTTTTACTTCTTTGGCATTATTAAAAATAGTTTTTTTAATTGTAATTAATTATTTGCATGCAATCGCAAATCATTAATTACAATTAAATAATCAAAGACTGGAAAAGGAGTCATTATAGTCAATAAACTTCAGTTTACATTTGAAAAATTAAATAAATAAATATTTATTATTATTCTCTTACATTAAATGTAACATAAATTCTATTCTTATTCATATTTATTTTTTAAATTATGTCCAATGCCGTAGCATCTTCCGCGGGCAACTTCATTCTGTTAATTTTGTGTCACGGTGCGCGCGCATCGTAAAATTTCACTCTCATCAATTTTTCATAACGCGCCTAAAGTATAACTTCAAAAATTTAGTTTAATTGTAATTTTCAATATGCACAATACTTATTTATTACAATTAGAATAAGTGTAGTTTAATGTATGACTACTGCATGACCGTCCAGCTTGAAAGTGCCTATAATGGGTTTTTAAAATAGGCTTTTCACATAGTGACACTCTTTTTCTGCCTCCTCAAAATATGATTGCTACGCGACATTCCTAAAACGTTTCTTATTTTTAAAAACAGTATATGCACTATAAGCCTAATAGATTAATGTTTCGTCCCCAACACTATCGCAGTTTGAAATCAACTATATGATAAGTCTTTAGTGGAAATAAAATGACTCTAATCACTTAGTAATCAAGTGTTTGTGACATCATTGCTTACTAATTTGACCTTTGAATAGTTTTCACAGTAAAAGCGCGTGTTCGGTTCAAAGGGGTCATTAATTACGTTAATGTTCCGACTAGAACAAAAGTAAAATGTGAAAGAACTTTTGTGTTTAGATTGTAAGCTTTGGGATTTTAGATGAATAGTAGGAAAAATAATTATGCAAACAATAGTTGCATAATTATTTAATGGCTGGACATTTAATTGGATATTTAATGGACAAATAATAATAAATGCTTTTGTTCGGCTATTCGAGCAGTTACGCTTCGTTGAATAATTGGCGCGCCGTATTAAGTATTAAACGCTATCCTAAAATGCGTAAAGTATATTTCGTATGTTACAGCGCCCCTGGTGGGTACACGCAACAAACAGTTTCTAGCTGAGATACTAATATAAAAATTGTGGTACAGCTATTATTCTGGGCTTCTCTCAAGGACTTAGTTTTGATGAACCTACTACAATATCTTGATTAAAACTGACATTTTAAAACAAAAACCGCGTGCGTCTTTTGTTTTCCATTTTCGATATATGAATTAAAAAATTCTAATTTTAGTGCCGTTATGTTGGTAATACATACATATACCGTTTTAGTTTCGACTTTAGTTGAAGAATTATTAATGTACTATTTTTTATACCAGTTAAATAATATTTAAAATAAATTTTTGCATGAAAAACTTGGCAGCGTTCTACATATTGGGAATAATTTAAATGAATACAAATGTATAAAATTTATGTGGTGTCACAAGATAGTTAAACAATTATTTAGTTTCTGCTATATTTTCCAACTTTTATAGTTAAATATAACGAATTATATTGAAACAATATATTATGTTCTTGATTCCGTACCAGCCACGGAATGCTGCTCAAGTTTTACTTATAAATATTTAATTCTGTATTATATTAAGGATTGTTTATGTGATATTAGTTTATATGTATCAAAAAACGGTGATTTTTATAACACGACTAATTAAAAGCTGTAATAGTATCCGTTGCATAACGTATGTCAAACGCAAATATTTGTGGAATATTAATTAGAACAATTTACCTGAACGTAATTAATGTTACGCAATTCTTTATATTTAAAGCACGATTAAATTATTGAAACACGTCACTGCGTAATTTATTTTAACCTTTGTACGTCAACCTGGTTTACCAACTAAATTATACATTCTCAAGACTGCTGGTATTTTCTATTAGGTGGGCTAAAAAGTTCGAAGGATTATTCAATATGCCTTCGAGAGCGATACGATTATAGCGGTCATACAATTTTTCAATACCATTTTAATAGTACGATTTTCATCTCAAAATAGGCTTCAGTTTCGGCGCAAAATTTCTGTCCATTGCAGTCTCTTGAGGTTTGAGAACAGGAAAGCGTCGGTAGGGAAACATTTCGAAGCCCAATTTATGGAATTTTGCCATAGTTTTATTTGTGACCGTGCATTGCCTGAAAATTAAACAGCACAACAGCTTTCTTCTAAGAGCGATACCGGTCCTTTTGTATATATTTCCTGAAGATTGTAGAGCTGATAAGTGATATTGCAATATTGGGAATTACTTACTGATTTGGCCAAAGTGGGTAGTAGGTATACTATGACTGGTATAAGTTACGTAACAAAAATGGTCCACTGCGGCACGGGGTTAGGTGCACTATATTGCATAAGACTTGGGCTTTATTAATACATTTTAGACACACGAGTTATAATTAAGACTCGACCCTGAAGAAAGGATGTCGTGCTGGCAGAGAATTATTATTTGGTCGCAGCAATGCAAGTTAGCTAATTGAGCCTTAATAAGCCTTTATAGGTTAAATTCGGCGGATTTAATGCGCAGTAAGATAAATTGTAAATTAGGCTTTTGTATAATATTGACGTTCATAAGTGTACATAGTAGTACGCTTTCCGTCTCCAACTCTCCAGTTCCAATTCTCTAAATATTCATTCTTTGGAAGAGTTGCCTTGATTTTTCATACATTTTAATTATTCCTAATGATCGATTTGGTTTTAAAAAACCATGGTTATATGATATCGTTGTATAAAAGTACAACCATATCATATAATTTATTTCGTAATCCTACAGCTAACATAAATTATAACAAAAAACAATTATTATACTAAAGATATATCCAAAGATTGACGACTCATTGGTCTAGTGGTTAGTACCCCTGACTGCGAATCCATGGGTCCCGGGTTCGATCCCCGGGTGAGACGAACATCGATGTGATGAGCATTTGGTGTTGTGCTTAGGTCTTGGGTGTTTAAATATGTATTTATATGTCTATCTATCTATAATATGTATATCCGTTGCCTAGTACCCATAACACAAGCTTCACCAGCTTAGCATGGGACTAGGTCAATTGGTGTGAATTGTATTTAAAAAAAAAAAGATGGAATACATAATATATAAAAGGTCCAAACATTTACGAAGGAAAAAATCTATAAAAAATAAAAATATTAAAGTAATACCTAATTCGGCTGTCTTGTATGACGGTGTGAAAGTGATATAAATGTATGTCACGATAAGTCGTGATAAAATAAAACACTCATTATCTTAACTTCAATATATTTATTTAGGGACAATGTTTTAAACAAGCTCCTTTAAGACAATCGTTGAATGCTTGCGGACTTTCAATCTGAAACAAATTTATAAGTTTTATCCAAAAATTCATCACGAGTAATAAAAAATAGGTAAAAAAATAACGCAACCGGAAATATTTCCTTAATTACTTCTTGCTTGCGTCACCATGAGTTCACGTTAACGATCTATAGTGAGCGTTCCAGTATTACGTAACGCCACCTCCCCAATAAAACGTTACGTGACCACCAAATGACCATTGTTTAAAAAATAAGTTCATTCAATCAATCAATCAAATCAAAATACGTTTATTCAGTTTAGATGCGTCTTAGGGCATGCTTATGAATGTCAAAAACGTTTACAAAATTCGCGAAAGAGTGACTACGGCATCCGTTCACAAAACTACCAGGAGGCCTTGTTCTGAGAAGAACGGGCAAGAAACTCAGCAAGATTTACCCTCCCTCTACATTACAATTATTCAAAGGAAAATGTCATAAACTAAAAAAAAATCTGTTCTGCGATTTTAACCACATTCTGATAAACAATAAACTACAAGCACTTTCCTTATTAGAATGCCAAATCGTAAAATGACTGCTTAACGACTGATTTGAGCGCGTCCGCCGCTGTGTGAGTTCGAAAAGTGAGTTACAGAATCGCAAGGCTGTTCTGCGATTTTAACCACATTCACCATTACACACATATTCACAACACTTCAAATATAACAAAACAAATTGCCACGCGTTTTTGTCTTCAAGGTAGTCATTAACTGTGTAGTAACCTTTACACATTAATGTTTTTTTTATGTGTTTTGAAACCGCATAACCGCAATTTAAGAAAACTACATTCATACAAAAATATCGTTACATTATCGTTTACAATGGTTGTAGCCGCGGCAACGCTTTAATTCCTCTCTGACAGGGCTGAAGATAGAAGTGTTAAACAAAGGACTAGACTTCATACTTGTTGGACTTGGGATAGAGATATTCCTGTAAAAAAATCGCTAAATGAGGAAGTTACTGAATGTTACTTACTTTACAAATTTGGCCATGTCTTGAGCATTGCACCACAAAAGCTTCTCCAATAGCATTCAGAGAAACCAATTTCTTATGAATTCCTTGCCATATTGACGACGCTGTGCTAAGTACGTTTATGTTACCGAATAGGTAAAAACCTAAAACAAATATGTGTCTACTGGTTAACGAGTGGTGTATAATTCGGTAGATTTTTCGGCGAAACGATGCTTTGACTGGGACAGAAGACCAATCACTTTCTATCTAAATAGTAACTTTTTTGAAGTTATACTTCTTTAGGCGCGTTATGAAAAATTTATGAGAGTGAAATTTTACGATGCGCGCGCACCTGTGACACAAAATTGGGAGTGTGATTATAGCGTGCGCGAGCGAGATAGGAATAAGACAATCTACAAGTAAAAAGAAATAGAATATGCGTGAAGTTCGTATGCCAAGAATTTTGAATGACCATAATGACATTTGTCATTTACCTTTTAAACAAATAAAGGAGTTTTGATTAATTTTTCAAAGAAATTTATTAATTTTATATTGTGCAATACTGCCAAAGCTACAACATACTTCTTAGTGTTTGGTAGAGATGTTCTAAATATATAATTATATATACTTTTAACTAAATAGAATTTATGTTACACTTAATGTAAGAGAATAATAATAAATAATTACATATTTATTTAATTTTTCAAATGTAAACTGAACTTAATTGACTATAATGACTCCTTTTCCAGTCTTTGATTATTTAATTGTAATTAATTATTTGCATGCAATCAAAAACTATTTTTAATAATGCCAAAGAAGTATAACTTCTTACGCGCGTACATAAGTACACGCACCCTTTTTTATATACAGAACTGGACATCCCACCTGATGTTAAATGAGATGCGACTTATTGGAGATGCCGCTTAAATGAACTCATATCATTCTGTCTAGAGAAGATGGAAGGGACAAGGAGTACCACTCCTTTGCTGTTTTGACGAACCGAATCTATAAATTTATGTTTAGTTCTTGCTGACAATTAATTATAATGATCAACTTACAAACGTTTCAGACAGGTCCATAGACACTAGTTTAATTTTCTTTATTAATTTACATTGTTAAAAAAACTATAAAATAAATGACACACAATAATAACAGAGTTTTAATATTAACAATATATTTTATTTATTACCTTCTTTAGCTCTAGACAAGGCTACACATATCCTATTTGCCGCCGAAAGAAAACCTATATTGCCATCTCTGTTGCTCCTAACTAAAGACAATATCACTATCCTGCTCTCTTCTCCTTGGTAGTTGTCCACTACTGTGATCCTTACATCGCGTAGGAGCTGATGCTTTTTGCTTAGCTACAAAATAATTTATCGTAAGTAAATTGTCAAAAAACATAGGCATTCATGGCAACGTGTTAAGGAATGGTGAATGTTGGGCGTGGCAGAACAAATTACAGTAGAATAAATGGCGTTGGAATGAGAGCGTTAAGTATGTGTGGTATAACATTGCGTGATAGGATAAGTAATAGTGAGATACGGGAGCAGTGTGGGCTAAAAGAAGATGTGTGGAGAAGTAACAAGGATACGAAAGTAAATGCTAAGGTCATGGCCATGTAGAATGAATGAGAAGCAGGATACGCAAGGCAACCGTGGATGGTGAGGTCAGATCAGGTAGGCCTTGTTCAAGCCTGAACCAAATCCAGGACGTACTAGAGAAGGGACAGGACAAAAGTACCCATAACCAATTATGCATAATGAATGCTATGAAAGTGGATGAAGCGAGAGAGGACCGTAGCAAGTAGAGATTCATGGTCTCTGCTTACCCCTTGGGGAACAAGGCGTATATATACGTTTATACACATTTTTAACTGTACATCACCACTATTACATTTGATCTGTGTTTCATAGACACTAGTTGTTCGTTTGGAAGAATTCTATAAAAGCAACGTCATGTCGTGATTGATAGTTTCATTTATTTATTAAATACAGATTCAGATTTTTACTTAGCCTACCTTTTTAGTACCAACATATGGAACATTTTGCTACGCTATCTCATAGACTGTTCGCTTTTATGGAATAAACACCTCAGTACTAAATAAAACTAAAAGTTTTATACGTTTCCAATTTTTCTCTCCATCTCTCTCTTTCTCTCAATCTCCTTCCTCAGAGTTTAAGGAATAAATTTAAAAAAAACTACTTTTGTTTGTCCAGCCGTCTTAGAGTTTTCCGCTTAGCTTTATTTTGTGATTATTTTTATATATATAGATAAATAGGATTAACGTTGACATATCCTACCTCTTTTATAAGGGCAGCTTGACCAGTATATGTGCTTAAAATTGTAATATCTTCAGCTGAATAATCCATTTTTCTTAAATAATTTGCAAGTGCTACACTCCATTGGGCTTCAAATGTATTTCTGTGGCTCCAAGTGTCTTCTAAGCCCTAATTTATAGAATAAGATTGTTTTATCAGTACCATTAATACGATAAACCAAAAACATTCGCAAAAAATTGTGGTTAAAACACTTAGATTTCGCAAAAAAAATAACAGGTCGCCTGTGTGCAAAAAAATCCACACCGGATCTCTTTAGTTATGTGAACTGTTATTTGCTACGCGTCGTTAGATTTATTCACAAAAAATATATACATCTCGATAATTTGAAAAATTTCCGGTGTCTTGAAACATACTCGATAAATTGAATAAAATCAATGTTAATTGGACCCCTCGGTAATTTGAATTAGAAGTCCGGGCACTTTTTATAATTTGAAGTGATTATCATGCACAGATACGGCAATTGCATGTACATAAATTTCGCATTCCAGTCTTCTTTTATTCGTTGTCTGATGACATCATGAATAAAATCGCTCACTCAAAAAATAATTACGGACTTTTCGAAATAATTTTTTTGTAAATACTTTAATTGAGTAATTACTCCCCTCATGGTTATTAAACGCTTGTTTTTTTGAACTCTTGGTAATTTGAATTTTAGTCTCTTGAGTTTCAAATGATCGAGAGTCGACTGTACTTTATTTTTTTTTATTTAAAGTATTAAGATTACTCGAACAGTAACAGTAGTCATTATAACAAAAAAAGTTAAAAGCATTGCAGCGACCTGAAACCCCACGATTTTTCTCTTTAAGAGTACACCTGACCGCTCTTTTAGACTCTTTTTTATCTGATCTACCTGTCTATGAAGACAGGTAGATCAGCCTTCTGACTGCCATGCCGGTTTCATTATGTTTTCCGGGAATCGAACCTTGAAGCCACTAGGCCAGCACTGCTTGACCACTAGGTAAAGGTCAAAATCAGCTTTATGGCCAGACGAAATTGAGAAGGTGACAAATACAGAAGAGTCTTTGGAAGAAAAATAGTAATACAGTGGCGACACATTCATCATTTAAACAGACAAAATATGATTTATTCCTGTTAATATACTTAAGAACAAAAAAAAAAAAAAATTGCACTTAATATATAGGCAGCTCTTAAATCAAGAGCGTAAAAAGGCATTTCATCACTGCGTAAACACAATTTGCCAGAAAGAGACGAAAGAGTTACAGATTGTATATCTGTGGTTTAACATACCTCGGAATCCTCATATACACTATGGCTAAAGAAGTGTAGATTATCCTTCATTCCACGTACATTGTTGTAACCATAAACACTAGAGTGACTATCAAGCTTGTCATAAATCGTCGGTACCAATAGCTCCACAAATTTTGGACACATTCGACGTTGAGTGATCAACGTTTTGGAGTGTATTGTGTTCTTTATCATTCTTTCAAAGAGTGAGATTTCTAGGTTATAAAATTTAGCTAACTTGTAGTGCGCAGCGGATGGGCGAAGTTGTTTGTGATCACCTACAATAATAAATCAATTCTTGATTAAACATACTTGCATCACTTTGCCCTTAAAAATTCACCATTTATTTCCCAATTGCAAGTCGCTATGTTAGTATTCGTTATTAACAATATTATCATTAAATATAATTATATACCTACGTAACAATGGCGCAATTAAAATTAAATAAAGTCATTTAAATATATTGTCGCAATAAAATTTCGCAATTTAACGCATAAAACTGAAATATACTAAATATATATTCCTACACGATAAAGCAGTGTGTGTGTGATGTTACCAATCTTACGTGGGAATATAATATATATATTTAAAGAATTATTTTAGAGGAAATTTAAATGACTTGACATGCTTCGGTTATTCATTTTATACACAAATTAATTTAATATCAAATACTATTTTTATAACTTCATTTGTGGAAAATTTTCATTATTTTACTCAACACTATGCCACATACATACATCGGAAAGGGAAGTGGATAACTCAATCTCAAAATAACTTTATTCATATAGGTAACCAAGAACAGTGTTATGAACGTCAACAGAAAACATGTTAAATTGATGCTAAATTTACATTTACTACCAGTTCGCAAGTCAAGGGCGTAGAGCGGGCTAGAAACTCTCTGCCACTCTTTTTACTCGCCAAGTTTTGAGTCATACAAATTGTTTGAACTGGAGCAAATCAATCCCAAGGATTACGATCATTTAAATAATCGTCAAATTTATAAAAAAGCTTTATTAATTAACTAGCTGGCCTGGCGAACATCGTACCGCCTAACAGTCGATTCTTTATTTTTTTTTAATATTTATTCTGCTATTCGGGACACCGGTCTAGCTAAGATAAAAAAAAAACAAAGTTGATAAGACAACAAATACATTATGTCAAAAAATAAAAATTTACCTTCCCGGAACCCCTCCACTAACACTTGAACTTTATGATATGGTATTAAAGTTCAAATTGACTTTTAAGTATTATTACGAAACTTTTGTATGGGAATATAGAAAAGTGTTGTTTTTAGACGTTTTCAGTCAATTTTTTTTATTTTTCTCTCCGTAAGAACCATCCTCGTACTTCAAGGAATATTATAAAAAAAAATCAGACAAATCGGTCAAGCCGTTTTCATGTTATGTCGTGACAACGGAAAACGGGTTTCATTTTTATACATATAGATTTAAGTTTAACGAGAGCTTCGAATTTATTCAGTGATAATTCTCTAATTTCGCTTGGGAGTTTGTTGTAAAAACGAATACAATTTCCATATAAGGACTGGTTTATCTTCTGGAGCCTGGTTGGTCGCACGCTTAGATAAATTATGTTTCGATGCTCACGCTACCACTGCTCATGCCACATGCTCATTGTAGCGAATCGTTCGATAAGAGTTAGAATTGAGTGTGAAAAAAAGGCAATATTTCCGGCACTCGGCAGTAGCAGGACCAAGGGCAAACAGAATATATATTAGCCGAAAAGCATTTAAACTGTCCCAGATTTATTTTTATTGATAACGCTTGTAACAATGGAACAATTAGTTAATTAAATCTGTTGCGTAATATTTAAACCGTTTAAATGGGTACTTATTTCAAAACTATTAACACAAACTGAATATAGTTGATTTTATAAAAGAAATTACAGTCAAAATCTGTTATAACGACATCGAAGGGACTACTCATATTTGGTCGTAAAAACCGATAGCCGTAACAGCCGATGACGTTTTTATTAAACCTAATACAATAGAATTCAGCCGGGACCTTTGATTTTGGTCAATATAACCGGTATGTTGTGTTCTAAACGATGTCGTCGTAAACAACGGTTTTGGCTGTTAATTAAAAACGGTTTAAAAATAAATTCAAAGTACCAGGGCCGCATAATTATTTAGGAGATCTTACCAATAAGTATGAGATGTTGGCATCTCGTAGTCAATGAAGCAACAATGTGAGCTTCCAACACTTCGGCTGCCTCTTCAACGATTACTAAAATCAAAGTCATCATTTTACAACATTTATTCATAGATATTTATTATATATAAATTACCTAATATAACATCATTATGTATATAACTTTAATGTACAAGTAGTACATTAAAGAATAGTATATTAACTACTGATTTGATTTTCACGAAACTTGGACTACTCCCATAATAGAATTTTAATCAGGTTCATCTCGATATTATGAATTATACGATAATAAAAACTACCAGCCGTCATTGCACTCGCGATCCTTCTGGCATTTAGTGTCCATGGGCGGCAGCATCTAACGTCAGGAAAGCCTGTTTGTACAGGGGGGTTTAAAAAAGTGTACAGGGGTACTGTACAATTAAATATATATTTCATATGAATAGAAGGAAATGTTTACCAATTGGCGAAAATAACTTCCGCATTAGATCATGTCGTCTAGCCGCAAATGTCGTGGTGACTCCTACCACGCGAACCGTCTTCATAACGTCACTGTCGATAAGTGTCGATACTTCTTCCAATTCAGTCGCTAGACCGTTGTGCTTGTCCTGTTAATTGTTACGTGGTGGAGGTCAAGTCAATTATACTTAATTGTGAAGTGAAACTTCTTTAGGCGGGCGCATGAGAGTAAATTTTTTAAGGATGAAACGCAATAATAATAATATAAATGTCACGAAGATGTGCAGCGTTTTTGTCGAAGAAAAGATAGAGAGTGAGAAGGGCTAATTACTTTATAGAAATTCAATTAAAATTTCGAAAAGAGAATTTATGAAATATTAGTATTTTACGAAGACGGGTCGACTGCAATGTTTTTAGATTTTTCCACTACTTAAAGAACTTTTCAGCAGGCTGAAATGTGATTTCTGACCGTTTCAGGAGAGGGTCGATCACATATTAGAAAATCGCAATTTACATAATGTTACCCTAGTTTTCAGGAGCCTGAAACATTTTTTCAGGCCGTTTCAGAACACGTGTAGTCGAATGGTACACTTTTCAGGAAACCCGTTTTCAGGCGTTTTCAGGCCTGGTTATACCCCTTTGACGAAGGAATGTTCTAGAACGAATTTACTAGGTGTGGGACAAGGACGGAACGATACGCGAGAGAGAGGGAAGATCGGAACCTTCTCGAAGCTAGACCGAGCACTCTAGAACGCCGTACGACAAGGACGGAGCAATGTGCGAAAGAGATAGCTAGTACGGACGTTCTAGAATTGTGCGATCGCTACTCAGTTGCGCTGCCGCCTAGAGAGTTCTCGAACATCGCTCCCAGGGATATATAAGCGAGCCGAAACGCGACCGATTAGTTCAGTTTTGAATGCGATACCAAGCGATAAACACCGGAGTGACAAAGTGCGAATATAGTGAAGAAAAGTGAATACAAGTACTGTGTGAAGTGCGTGATATTAGAGTAATTAGTGACAGTATTTTGTGTGTGTATTTAGTGAATTTTTGTGCGTAATTTCAAGTTTATAGTGTTAACAAATTCCTCGTAGATTTAATTGAAAATAAACCCTTGAAGAGATTTACGGCGTTTCTATCCGATCCCCTAGCTCGTAACATTTTGGTGTCAGAAGTGGGATAGAAAAATGCCAATTACTCCGAGGGAGAATCAAGAGGAGTTTGTGGCCGAGTCTCCAGCTGCGGAGGGAGTGCAGACAAGGGCACAATCAGCACGCGACGCCGCCCGGCGACAAAGTTTCGATGCAAACCGCGGGATGGGCGAAAGCAACGATAGCAACATCCTCCTTGCCCTGCGCCAAATGATGGAAGAACAGGCTCAGACACGTCGTATGATGGATGAACAGGCACGTCGTCAAGAGGAACAGGCACGACAAATGATGGAAGAACAGGCACGACGTCAAGAGGAACAGGCACGACGTCAAGAGGAACAGGCACGACGTCAAGAGGAACAGGCACGACGTCAAGAGGAACAGGCCCGTCATCAGGAGGAACAGGTTCGGCGATTGATGGAGGAACAGGCTCGCCGTCAAGAGGAACAGGCACGCCAAATCGTGGAAGAGCAGGCTCAGACACGTCGTTTGATGGAGGAACAGGCTTGCCGTATCGGAGAAAGATTAGGAGATCTAAAACAAGAAGTAGATAAAAAAATCGAGAACTTGGAATCTGATATGGACTGCAAATTTTCGAAACAGGACAAACGTATTCTCGGATTAGAACAAGAGATGCAGTGCCTGAAGACTAAAGGTGTCATAACGACTGTAGCACCATCTGGAAATCTGAAAGTACCTCCCTTTGACGGTACATCTTCCTGGGGCGCCTACAAAATACAGTTTGAGACTGTGGCAGAGTCAAACGGGTGGAATGACGATCAGGCTGTCACCGCCCTTATTATGGGACTGCGAGATGAAGCCCTCACCATATTAGATACCAAGACAGGTAAAGTGACGTTGAAGCAACTGCTGGATGCCCTAGAATCACGGTACGGAGACGCACATTTAGAGCACGTCTATAGGGCTCAATTAAAGGATAGAATACAGCAGACAAATGAAAGTTTGCAAAAATGGGGATGTGAAATAGAGAAGCTGGTTAGGAAAGCCTATGCATCCTCACCAGACGTTGCAGACAAGATGTTGGTTCAAGCCTTCGTCGACGGTATTCGAGACCGTGAAATTCGAATGGCTGTGAACCTAGGTCACCATAAGGACCTCAAGAATGCTCTTGCTCATGCGTTGGAAGTGGAAGCATTTTGCAAGGATTCTCGACCTAACCGCATTAGGGCTGTCTCGGAAAAACGTAGTTCCCAACGTGGACCCACCTGTTACCTCTGCGGGGAAGTAGGGCATATGAGGTTTTCATGCCCTAAGAGAGATCTCCGAGGTGAAATGAAGACAAGACGTGGGGAGCCCGATGACGTGGATGTGACTGCCGCTGAACAGCGGCAGGGAAACGAATAGAAGCCAGGACCACGGGGCGGGTGCTGGCCGGTTCTGTAAGGAAGGCCCCAAAAGTTATGATCTCTCAAACTCAGGATGGGAATACCATTGTCATCGACGGAGAAGTTAACGGCACTAGGTGTGAGTTAACCCTTGATACTGGAGCTTCCCGGACAGTAATCAGATACCAACTTCTGAAGTCATTTTACAAGAGCCTTTCTGGTGGAAATCTACAGCTCCTTACAGCCACTGGTCAGCACATAACCGTTCGAGGAGAAGGTATCGCTACCTTCAAGATTGGTGGAAGAACATACAGACATGAGGTGGTTATTGCTGACATCGTGGATGACTGTATTATCGGTTTAGACTTCATGAAGCATTACAACTGTAAGATTGACCTGAAGAACGGCACATTCAAGTGTAGAGATGAAGTAGTTTCCCTAAAAGATAACACATTGAAGAACGGGTACGACGTGTATAGAGCTATCATTGAAGATGGTACAGTTAGTAAACAACGAGATATAGTTAAAGCAATACTTGAGGACTGTAAGGAAACCTTGACGAGAGAAGAAATGTCGAAAGCAAAGGGACTATTAAAAACATTTTCTGACATGTTTGCTACACACGATGGAGATCTAGGAAGGACAGGTGTAGTTAAACATCGAATTGAGACTGGAACCGAAGCACCTATACGTTTAAGACCGCGACGAGTACCTGTCGCATATGAAAAGAATATAGACAAGATGATTGCAGAAATGTCAAACCATAATGTTATTGAAGCATCTTCCAGCCCTTGGTGCTCTCCAGTAGTTTTAGTCAAGAAAAAGGATAACAGTTTAAGGTTCTGCGTCGACTACCGTCGTCTTAACGATATCACGAAGAAGGACAGTTATCCGTTACCTAGAATAGATGACACCTTGGATACCTTAAGTGGGGCAAAATGGTTTACAACTTTAGACTTGAAAAGTGGGTACTGGCAAGTGGAAATAGACTCAAGTCATAAAGAGAAAACAGCGTTCTCAACTGGTAAAGGACTATGGCAGTTTAAAGTTATGCCGTTTGGGCTTTGCAATGCACCTGCCACCTTTGAAAGACTAATGGAAAAAGTACTGTCAGGACTGATAGGAGAAGCCTGCTTAGTGTACTTGGATGATGTAGTCATCATTGGGAAGGATTTTGATGATCACATACGAAATCTGCAACGGGTGCTCTCCAGACTGCATAAAGCCAACCTGAAACTAAGTGCAAAGAAATGTTTATTTTTCAAGAGAGCAGTGAGCTACTTGGGGCACATTATATCAGAGGATGGAGTTCGAACAGACCCTGAGAAGATAGTTGCGGTGAAGGATTGGCCAGTACCTAAAGATAAAACTGAAGTCCGCGCTTTCTTAGGCTTATGTTCTTACTACCGAAGATTTGTGAGAAATTTCGCGGATATTGCAAAACCACTTCACAGACTCACCGAACAGAAGAGGAAATTCACATGGGATGGAGAGTGTGAAGATGCGTTTAATGAGCTCAAGAACCGACTGTGTGAGACTCCAATACTAGGCTACCCGGATCAAGATGGTGAATATGTGGTAGATACAGATGCCAGTGGAATTGGCATTGGAGGTGTACTATCACAAGTAAAAGGTGAGCACGAGCAAGTAATAGCCTACTTCAGCAAGTCATTGTCGAAACCAGAACGGAACTACTGTGTCACTCGGAGGGAACTACTGGCTGTTGTGAAGACGCTGCAGCACTTCAGTAAATACTTGCTAGGTCGCAAGTTCCGTCTTAGGACAGATCATGCTGCATTAAAATGGCTACTTCAGTTCAAGAATCCGGAAGGACAAGTGGCTCGATGGATCGAACAACTGCAAGAGTATGACTTTGCTACTGAACATCGCAAGGGCAGAGCCCACGGGAACGCAGATGCGTTGTCTCGAAGGCCATGTGAGGAGGATTGCAAACATTGTACAAGACACGAAGGTAGAGAGGTAGCCCATGTAAGGATACTAAGGACAGACACCATTAGTCCAGATTGGTGTGGGAAATTAATTCAGGAAGAGCAACAACAAGATTCTGACATTAAACCAATTCTGGACTGGATGAAATCTTCAGCTATCAAGCCGCGGTGGAATGATGTTGCATCTACTAGCACCACGACCAAGAGTTACTGGGCTCAATGGGATAGCTTAGTTCTTCATAATGGAGTGTTATGTCGCAAATGGGAAAACACTCGAGGGGATGCTTCTCATCTACAGTTAGTTGTGCCAAGATCCAAGGTTCGCAACATCTTGGAGATGTTTCATGATGGCTCATCGGGCGGACACTTAGGAGTAAAAAGGACTCTTCTGAAAATTAAAGAGAGATTTTATTGGATACATTGCCGTGAAGATGTGGAAGACTGGATTCGGAAATGTAAGGCTTGTGCAGCAGTCAAAGGCCCACAGACGAGAACTAGAGCTGGTATGAAGCAATACAATGTCGGAGCTCCATGGGAGAGGATAGCCGTTGACATAGCTGGACCATTTCCGTTAACAGAAAAAGGAAATAAGTACATCATGGTTGTTATGGATTACTTTACGAAGTGGCCCGAAGTGTTCGCTATTCCCAATCAAGAGGCAGTTACAGTAGCTGAGATACTTGTAAATGACGTATTCTCTAGATTCGGAGTACCCTTGGAGATTCACAGTGATCAGGGGAGAAATTTTGAGTCTTTATTGTTTCAAGAAGTATGCCGACTAATGGGAATTCATAAGACGCGGACTACTCCATATCACCCACAGTCAGATGGAATGGTGGAACGCTTTAATCAAACCTTGGAAAGGCACTTGGCAAAACTGGTGGACAGCCATCAAAAAGACTGGGACAAGTATATTCCATTATTTTTAATGTCATACCGGTCTGCGGTTCATGAAACCACGAATGTTACACCAGCTTTAGCCATGTTTGGGAGACAACTTAGATTACCAGCAGACATTGTAACGGGACGACCACCTGACACCCCGGAGAGTGTTACAGAATATGCTGCGGATTTGCGTAATAAACTGCATGAAATCCATGAACACGTACGAGCATCACAAAGCAAAATAAGTGAGACTACGAAGATTAGGTATGACAGAAAAACGAATCACATAGAATTTAAAGAAGGCTCGCAAGTATGGCTCCATAATCCAACAAAACGCAAAGGCAAATCACCAAAGCTTCAAGCTGACTGGGATGGTCCATACACGATAATCACGAAGATTAATGACGTTACTTACCGGATAAAGAAAATGAGTGGTTTAAGGAGCAAACCGAAAGTCGTTCACATAAATCGATTGGCTCCCTATAAAGGAAGTAATGATGCTCGGGACGAGCATGTCTAAGGAGGGGGTAGTGTTACGAAGACGGGTCGACTGCAATGTTTTTAGATTTTTCCACTACTTAAAGAACTTTTCAGCAGGCTGAAATGTGATTTCTGACCGTTTCAGGAGAGGGTCGATCACATATTAGAAAATCGCAATTTACATAATGTTACCCTAGTTTTCAGGAGCCTGAAACATTTTTTCAGGCCGTTTCAGAACACGTGTAGTCGAATGGTACACTTTTCAGGAAACCCGTTTTCAGGCGTTTTCAGGCCTGGTTATACCCCTTTGACGAAGGAATGTTCTAGAACGAATTTACTAGGTGTGGGACAAGGACGGAACGATACGCGAGAGAGAGGGAAGATCGGAACCTTCTCGAAGCTAGACCGAGCACTCTAGAACGCCGTACGACAAGGACGGAGCAATGTGCGAAAGAGATAGCTAGTACGGACGTTCTAGAATTGTGCGATCGCTACTCAGTTGCGCTGCCGCCTAGAGAGTTCTCGAACATCGCTCCCAGGGATATATAAGCGAGCCGAAACGCGACCGATTAGTTCAGTTTTGAATGCGATACCAAGCGATAAACACCGGAGTGACAAAGTGCGAATATAGTGAAGAAAAGTGAATACAAGTACTGTGTGAAGTGCGTGATATTAGAGTAATTAGTGACAGTATTTTGTGTGTGTATTTAGTGAATTTTTGTGCGTAATTTCAAGTTTATAGTGTTAACAAATTCCTCGTAGATTTAATTGAAAATAAACCCTTGAAGAGATTTACGGCGTTTCTATCCGATCCCCTAGCTCGTAACAGTATTTTATATTTTATGCAAAATAATTTATTGAAATCGTTTTAATTGTTTTCGACACTTTTAATATTGTAATGACAATTAAATTCATTCCTTATTCCCTCCCTCTATGACTCGGAAATCTAAAATTTTAGATTTGTATAAATATGAACAACACTTAAATTAGCCAAAGAACTTTGTACGCAAGCACTTAATTTTTTTTTTCTTTAATTAATATTATGAAAGTTTGTTTTAATCTCTTCAAAACAATTTGTCAGAGAAGTAAAAAGTGTATAATATTTTAATCTCTAAGTAGTTTTTTTCATAAAATTACGTACGTAGAAACTTGATTGATTTAAACACGTTTATCACCCCGAGTTCGTGTATAGAGATTGTTTTCAATAAATCCTTTGAAACATTATTCTATCCTTACAGATATTGCGACCGGAGTTGTCCGCGAAATACATATCCTCATACAATCACATAGACCGTGAATGTAGAGACCTTTTGTTTATAGATATTGGCTATGGTAGGTAAGAGTGTTTTGGAGTTAAATGTATGGTTTAGTAACAAAATAAACTCAGTTTCTACTTAAAAATACGTGCAGGTATTTATTTATTTAAAAATAATATAATTTCGGACATACATCGTCATTATATTCAAAATCCACTGTAATTCTGTGAGTAACATTATTAGTTTGGCAATAACGCCATCTCGTGACCACGTTCAATATTACAAAAAATTCCAACGGAATCATTTAAATGTTTACATGACATACTTCACTAATACGAAATTTTTTAAGTAAAAAGCAGAAATGTGCAGGGTTTCGGGACTTCAGAATACAATAACGTAATTTTAAAATTAATTTAAAAAAAACTTACCAATAACTCTTCCATTTTCTTCGTTAATTTGTTTTTAAGAAGGTCCACTACGTAGAAATAGACATCCCATCTCTCATCAATTGACAAACTATATAAATCCTTTATTAATTCAAATTTGATTTTCCTACCCTCATTTTGTCGTTCCATAAATTTCTGTAAATATTTAAAAAAAATTAGAACATTGGGCAAACGGGCAGGATACTCTCAAGTACTCTCCGCCGCCTACACTCAATACCAAAGGGCTCGCAAATGCATTTTTAAAAGGTTAAGAATTGGTACGCTCTTTTCTTGAAGTACCCTAAGTCGAATTGGTTCGGAAATACTTCAGTGAGTAGCTGGTTCCACATAGTGGTGAAATAACGGACGTCGAGGTGATACAGTTGAAATTTCGTATTCTGCCTCAACATCCGATGATGAAACTCAGCTGCAGGTATTCAGGTATTTATAATTATATACGAACATCATTACTTTACACAACGTCATAGTCGTAGAATAGTGACAGATCTGACAAATAGAAACTTTACCAGGCAGCCATTTCAAAATAATATAATCATGATAGTTTTTGTCATTACTTCATATTCTGTTATTATGAAAATTGGCATACAAGCTTTTATTTTGAAACAAAAGGGTTTGTTTGAAACAAAATAAAAATGTAAAAGGCCGGCAACGCACTCGCGAGCCCTCTGGGATTGAGAGTGTCCATGGGCGGCGGTATCACTTAACATCAGGTGAGCCTCCTGCCCGTTTGCCCCCTGTTATATAAAAAAAAAAAAATAAAATAACAACATTAAATTACACAGATTTCTAGAAAAATCACATGTTTCTATCAAATCACTTTACAGACTGATTAATTTGAAATTTAAAACACGGGTTTTTTTTAATGTAGCCGAAATATTTAGTCAATGTAGTAATCCAAATATGATAAAAAGTGGATTTTGGATTTTTTTCAAATCCGACATTGTTCTATGATCATGACGAATAGTTCAATGTGAGGTTAATCCAACCAATCCCAATTTCTCGATTCGTTAGCTGTGTATAAACAAAACAGATAAAACAAAATTAAAAAAAAAAATATGAAATTTATACCTCAAAACAATCCAGCCGCTGATGTATCTTTTCAATCTGGAGTTGAAATTTTTCTATCATTTTCTGTCTGTCCATGCTCTCATCTGTAATATCTTCGACATATTTAATACTATTTTTCATAGAATCTATTTCTTTCAAAGCCCAATGTTCTGAAAAGCACGTTTCAACTGTCTCCGTTCCTGAAACTTCACACTCTTTTTCCCAATCATTAACTTCGTCCACTGCAAGTTTTTCATTTCCGAAGAGCCACGCTAGTGTTGGGTCTTCATCACAACTTTTCAGTTCCAAATTCAAAAATGGCTTAATCGTCTCATAGCACAGTAGTTCCTTTCCGCACTTGTCAATGTCAGTTTGAATTTCCATCATTTCATTAAATACTTTTTCCATTTCAGACCGTTTACTGGCATATAAATATCCATATTTCGACTTTCTCTTCGATCTCAAATTGTGTAAAGTATACGATTCAAGTAATTTGCTCTTACTTTGACTGCCAAGTCTAACTATATTATCTGTTATGTTCAAAATTCCTTCCAAAAACTGATCTAAGGCGTGGTTCGTGTAACAAATTATAAGCATTGGTGTACCGTCTAGGGACAAGTTCTTTAGAATAGTGGAAGCGATTTTGACTCCTAGGAACGTTTTGCCTGTACCAGGAGGGCCTTGTATTACTACGAATTCTTTTGTTAGGGCGAAATTGTATGCCTCCATTTGGGACTGGTCTAAATCAAATAAATCTGAAGTGGGCCATTGTGAGTTATCTAACACGGGAAAGTATATTTCGCCATTTTTACTTTGAATACTGTATATCGTGTCTGGGGTTAGGTAAGAGGGAGGGTTTGTGTTTGGCTGTAAACAAATTAATTTGTCTCTATTATAGAGATTTTATTTCCAATAAATATATTTAAAATGCACCATATAATTATGACGGCAGAATGTAGCCAGGGAAGTGAAGAAATTTTGATTTTTTTTTTCAGGAGACTCACTTAATTTTAAGAGATATGGACTCTCACACTACGAGAAGGGTCGCGAGTGCGTTGCTGGCCTTTTAAAAATTGGTTCGCTATTTTTTGAAGGACGGTAACTCAAATTGAGTGATAAGCTTATTTTATCCGTGAATTATGAATTACACATGTTTTCTATATTATCTACCATTACGTACCTGAACATCCACAATATAATTCTTCATAGGCAATTCATCTGGTTTGCAGTTTTGCAAGACTTTAAGGACTCTGTGGTATGGCTCAAAAAACACCTCACTTTCAACCATTAGGAGCTTCTGAGAGAATATATTTTTCGAAAGTGGACTATCAAATGCAACTGCAATCTGAAAATGTATATATATGAATTCTAAACTAAAATCTGTAACCTGCACAGAAAAACTCACACAAATAAAACATCCACTGTTTACACAATTATTTTGAATCCTAATCCTATATAGGTACTATTACCTAAACCTAATTAGGTAATAGTATCTATATACTTAAGAACTTCAACTTAAAAAAATTTTTGTCTCATTCACTAACAATACTAATAATAGAGACATCAACAATTAAGAGCTTGTTTTTATTTAATGTACAAATGCCAACAACTTCTATCGATGAATAAGAAGTTGTGTGAAGTTGAGTGATTTATACCATCAGCCCTGAATAAGATTTGACCCTCATGAGCATGTAAACCATTAAACAAATATAATACTTACATAACCTTGACGTAATAAGCCAGGATTAACATCCAAAACAGATGCACATAATATATTATTGAAATTGTCACTTGTAAAGAGTAACAATGATCCAAACATAAGTTGCTTATTGAATCCATATTTTGTACAATCAACAGATTTCTGACTATTCCGTTCACTCCAAGCAATATCTACTAAGTAGCCCACTTTGTTTGCACTTAGATATGTGGATATTATTCTTACTTTTGGATACACTCTTAAAAAGAAATTTAGTAGTTAGTATAAATAGTATAAGTGTGTTGCTTTGTTACATAGTAACGATTATTTGTACATAAATGTAGACATCTGATTCTGAGACTGGGTTGAACACTCTAAGGAAATGCACTAATCTATTTTATTTAAAGTATTTATCTTAATATTATGTTGTAAATATGTCAATTAGCTTGACTTAGTAAAAATAAACAATGAAAAATGTGTCCATGTCCCATTGGAATGTATACATAATTATTTAAGTTTAAGAAAAGTTCCATTATGAGCTGTTTTAAATTTTATACATAGAAGTAAATTATTATTTTGTTAAATACTACACTTACCGTATGTTTTCATGTCTTCTTTTGTTTGGATTTTGTAAATATTTTGCTGAAATTGTTTACACTTATATTTAGTCATACTGAAATTATATAGCTAAAAAAATAATTCCAATCCGTTTTTCTGTTCAGAAAAATACATATGAAATATTACATTTAAATTTATTTAGCAGACACAGAAAAATCTAATTCAAACAACGATATATTCTAGCACCCACTAGTTATTATACACCTAGTATAAAATTAATAACATGCAAGACATGTCATTAAAAAAATGTTTACCAACATATTCCATCTCTGAGTGGCCCAAAGCAATCTTCTCTCAACAGCCTGAACTGAACATCTAAATAGTGTTCCACATTTGAATAAGCACCATGAATTATATTTGGCTGAATATTCACTAAAGGATCACCAAGTAGATCCTCTTTTGTAGGAAAGATTGAGATGTTTCTAAAACTATTTATGTCAAGCTTTTTATTTTGTGTGATAATTGTTTCATCACCCTGCAAGCAAAAATGTTAAAAATTATATTATAATGTTCTTGTAATTTTTATTGTTCAAATTCTAACCCATTATTTGTAAGAACTAAATAAATCTTGTTACACTGTTGTATTTAAAAGCTTCAATTGTCTCATACTGTGAATTTTCAAATTTATGAATAGTTAGGAGATTGTGTTTATGGGCTCATGAATTGATAATTTTTAAAAATTATTCCCGTTAAAAATTACAGAATAAGTACCTGAGATATTGATAGTAGAATTTGTTCTTTCAATTCTAATATCTTTGTATAATAGTGTTCACCAATTCTTTCACTGTGTTCTTCTTGGACTCCTATAGCACTTGATACTGCAGTTTCAATTAAATCATTCAATAGACTTAAAAACTCATTTGAATAATCTCTGTAGTTAAAGATACCTTGAAATAACTCATAAACATTATTGTAAAATGATTCAACATCATCCCAAAACTGCATATTTAACCGTTTTTCAACTATTCTCACTAAAGGTAATTTAGCTAAGTAATCCTGAAGCTGTGCTAAGAATGTTGACTCAAGAAACTTAGTTTTTAGCAAAAAGCTAACTTTAGCTTTTTCACCGCGGTCCAATGATTTGTATAAAGCTGCTAATATTTTGACAATCAAAACAATGTAATCGTCCTTTAATTCGCTACTGAACAAAAGCCAAAACCCAGGCCTATTGGCTAATTCTATATTTAGAGAAGGCGGTTTCATAAAGGAAATGTCAAGAAGCCGTTTGAACCCAATAGGTTTCCTTTCAATATCCAAAGCTTTCTGAGGTTTGGAAATGGCAACTTCTTCATCAGCGAATTGCGAGGAACTTGGTCTCGTCTCTTCTATAACGGTTCCATCAAACCAGTCAATTCTTAGAGATTTATTTCCATCAGTCATAATTTTGAATTTTTTATACTGTTTGTTTATAATTAGTTTCGTAGTTGAAATGTATACGTAAATTACTTTTAACTTTTTTTAAAGTCTTCTTAACTCTGACAAGACAATATGATAAACTGATTGTTTATGTGTCAATTATTGTGTCATCTGCGTTTATCTCGGTTGACGATTTGTACTTTTTTTGTAATATTTTGACAACTGATAAGCTGACTGCTTACAGCTGAGGGTTGACACTTGGCACTTGACACGTATTGGATAACACTCGTAGATAATGCCCACTTCCCATAACTAGTATAGAATATAGATAATAAACCACCTAGTAGTACATCGGATCTTTTCAAACTAGAAATATGTTCTTCTGCATAAACTAGTATATAGTCTGGCTAATGAAAGTTGATACTGAAAAAGCGCAGCAAATTTAAAAAATATCAGCATGGCAGCCCTAAAGTAAAAAGGAAAGTTGGAACAACTTACTTTGATACTTTGACATTCATTTTTATTTTACTAGTGGATGCTTGCAATTTTGTCCGCGTTATGAGGAGCTTTAAAGTAGCTTATATCACATGTTAACTCTTTATTAACTCTATACCAAACATCACACGGATACGTCACTCCATTGTGGAACAAACAGGCTATCAAACACTATCATGAGTATCAATATTATCATGAGAATTAAGTGAGGGCCAGCGGTGAATCCCAAAAAAAACCAAAATGGGTTTGAATTACTTTAATTAATGATTACTTTTACAATAATGACTTAACTAAATACAACTATTTAATCGGCCCGATATTAGGTGCACGACAAATAATCTATATTATAAACTTAACTAGTTGAGAATTGACCGGTCCGATGGGTGGTATGAGGTATCCGATCAAAAAGCTGCTGGTCTCTGTTGTCCGTTTCCGTATATAACGTAGTTGCGTAAGAGGGGTACTGGTATTGGGTATGCGGGGCAAAGGGAGTGCAATGAATATGTAACATGAGTTTAAATATTTGTAAATCGATGTGAGTATGTATCAAAGAAAACAACACCATATATTTTTATACTGTTTTTTAATCACTATAATCAAAATCTGAATCTAAAAATTCAACATTGTTTTACTTCAGCAGTTCGTGCATTATCCTCAAGACTATCTGTAAAAGAACAATAACATTATCTAAAGTAACTAAAACTAATATGTACTTATTTAAAATTTAAAAAAAGTGTGTGTGTGTCAGCTACGACGCACGATTGGAGTTTACTCCTTACGAACGATAAAATGGCGATAATGTTCTGTGGCTGTCGACCATATTTTCATACTAAAGGTGGTAAGAATATATGTTTTTATAATATAAATGTTTGTAGTAGTAATAAAACGTACCTACATCATCTATGCCCAAATAGGATTTTCTTTCTGTGACCAAAGTTACTGTATAGTAAGAGAAGAATAAGAATGAACAATCTTTTTAGTTTTAATTTCTCAAATTTAAACTCTATGGCACGCTAGACAATCTACTTTTATTTTTTACACCTGTCAACACTGACAATGTTGTAACGTGGCTGTCAAATCGTAAATTCAAAATAGAAAAGTCTGTGTAATGTATTCCATCTCTTTCTTTTACACGTTCAATCCATTTGTCTCTTTCTACATAACGCCTCAACTTTTCGTGTTACACTTGATTTTACTCCTCATAAAATATCGTTTCTTAAGGAGTAAACTCCAATAATATCAAGACATTTTGACCGTACTAACTTTAGTGTTGCCATATAAAAAGTTTCAAAAAAATCCAGTATCTACTTTCGTTAGCCAGACTCTAATAAATAATAATACTAGTGATTGATAGCGTGATAATATGTTTATCTAATAACACTACACGTATTATTAAAAAAACATATGGGTCAAAGTTTAAATTTTTAAAAATATAAGACCGTACTGTTATATATTTAAAACCTTAGAGACAACCCTATGTCAGCCTCTATTTTAGCAAGCTTGCATTCTCCTATTCAACTGCCATGAGCATTATCTTTCAGCTTAAAGTCAGTCCCATTTTACGATTCAAACCGAGCAGTTGCCTTTCTAAATCTATATTTCTAATTAAATCCTTTGTGTAAAATAAAATCTTTTTTAAAACTCTAAATCCGGGACGTCGTATAACATTGGTGGCAGCTCAAGGGATTTTTAAAAAATCCTCGGTACGCCTCAGTTTGGCAGTCGCGACTAACGAGTGATTACAAAAGTGAATATTTCTGTGAATAACTAGATTTTCCTATTCGCTGTGAATTCTAAAATTGTTTTGTGAAGAAACATCCGCCGTCTCCGCCCCATACATCAAAGATGTTCATGGGTAAAACTGCAGCATTCCTGGGGGTCTAGCCAAGATGGCTTAACAGTAGTGTATGTAGAAAGTCGAAAACTAAATTTGTATGGAAATGACAGTTCGTGTCGAAAAGTTTTCATACAAATTTAGTTTTTGACGTTCTACATACACTACTGTTAAGGCATCTTGACTAAGGCCCCTGTAAGTCTTCAAAAAAATTCTATATATATTTTTTTTTTTTTAATTTATTTATTAGCCGGATACAAAGTCCATTGGCACTATTCTATATATTCGTATTTCAGTGTGTTGTGCGAAAACAATTAGTGAAGTTCAAAGTGCTAAAAATAGAAAGGTTTTATAAAATTACAATCTCATAATTGGTTATAATACCAATTAGAAATCAGTGCATCGCCTAATCAGTTCTCAGTAACGCTAGCCGTCGTCGCGTCGTTATCAGTATTGTTTTGTCTAAGCCATATCCTACGTGAAGATGCCTAAGGAAGATGTAATTGTACGCGAGTCTAAGAATAGGCCATCTACAGACGTTGATTTAAATATATTAATTAAATTCATAAACAAATTTGATGGTGACCGTGAAAAGTTAAGTGCCTTTTTAAACAATTGTAAAAATGCAGTAGAACTTGCTACTCAAAATCAACAGGACATTTTATTAAAATTTATTATAAGTCAATTAGAAGGTCGCGCAGAAACGGCTTGTTGTGTTAAAGAATTCGAGAATTGGCACCAGCTCGAAGATTTCTTAAAATCTCAATTTGGGGATAAAAAACACTATGCTGCGCTGCTTTCTGATTTACAGGAATGTCGTCAATTAGGCAACGAAACGGTCAACCAGTTTGCATTACGAATAGAGTCTTGCTTGTCAAAATTATTATGCGAAATTAATATAACTATCCCTACTAAGAAAAAAGACGAACTGGCAGGCCGCGTCGCAGCTATGAAAGACTTAGCGTTACACACGTTTGTAGTCGGCCTAAATCCAAGATTGTCTACAGTAGTTCGATGCCGTGACCCTGAATCTTTGAACGACGCCATTAATTTCGCTACTTCGGAGGAAAAAATTATGAATGCTTTGACACGACGAAATACTAATTACTCGCAAACTCCCAATACTCAGAATCAGGCACGATTCCGCCCATCTCACTCATCATATCCACAAAATCGATCAGCCTTACAACATGGCACTAATAATAATACATCTGCCGCGTTTAGGCCCTCTAATCCTATAGTGTGCCGATATTGCAAGGCCCCAGGGCATACTATTGAAGGTTGTCGCAAACGAGAATACAATAATAGGAAATTTGGAAACAATCAAAATTCAAACTACCGCACAAACCCTACTACTTCCTTTCAAAATCGGAACCAACCGATTCATGCAATAGCTTCTTATGAAGATTATGGTGTCGATGAGACAGATAATCCTTTAAACGAATAAAGGACTCCCGACGGTGTCTCCCGAGTCCGAAATTTCAACGTCCTCTATTGCTATATCCAAATGACACCGCAAATTCTATATCCTATTACAATTCCAGGGTCACACAACAGGGTAACCAGCCCCAAAATGAAGGCCACCCTCTACGTAGAATAAATTCTATTTCCAATTACAATTCCAAGGTCACACAACAGGGTAACCAGCCCCAAAATGAAGGCCACCCTCTACGTAGAATAAATTCTATTTCCAATTACAATTCCAAGGTCACACAACAGGGTAACCAGCCCCAAAACGAAGACCATATTCTCATTTCTAAATCCAAGGTCACACAGCAGGGTAACCAGCCCCAAAACGAAGACCATATTCCTATTTCTAAATCCAAGGTCACACAGCAGGGTAACCAGCCCCAAAACGAAGACCATGCTCCTATTTCTAAATCCAAGGTCACACAGCAGGGTAACCAGCCCCAAAACGAAGACCATGCTCCTATTTCTAAATCCAAGGTCACACAGCAGGGTAACCAGCCCCAAAACGAAGACCATGCTCCTATTTCAAAGTCCAAAGTTACACAGCAGGGTAGTCAAACTCATAGTGGTAGCAACGTTAATAAATCAATTACAAAATCCTCTGTACCACATAGCCCTAATTCCAATAATGGTGCAATAAATTCCAAACGAAGGACATATGCATCTATGGTATCCGGCACTCCGAAATACATGCCCGCCATATCTCCTCTTACAACGTCCATGGTTGATACCCCAAACACCACACCTGAAACAAAAAACAATATATATAACAAAATACATAACGTTACTTCAAATCCATCCGAAAAATACTTACCCTTTGTGGAAGTTCAAACCTCTGTATCTACCAAACGACTTAAGCTCCTTGTTGACAGTGGTGCATCTATTAGCCTTATAAAGAAATCATCTATTCAAAACATGCCTGAAATAGACGAACATACTATAACATTTTCAGGAATTGGAACTGCAGATAAACCAATGAAGTCATTTGGACGTATACCTATCGAATTCAACTCTCTGAAGTATCGATTTCATATTATTGATAACATAAATTTTCCTTACGATGGTATAATTGGAAACGATTTCCTATCAGACAACTACTCAAACATTGATTTCAGGAATGAATTGCTTACGATTAGTCAAGTTGAACTTGCTTTAAAATTTAATGAACCAATATATACTATTGCTCCCCGAATTGAAACCATCATAGAATGCTCGGTACTTAATC